TGGCCGCGCTGGTGGAGCTGGCCCGGCTGCCGGCCCTGGGCGCCCCGCTGCTCGCCCGGCACCTGCGGCTGCTGCTCTGCGGGCTCTGCGCGCTGGGACACGGCCCCGCCGCGCTCTGCCAGGTCCGTGCGGTGCCCGCAGCCCGTGTGCCCGCTGCCCGTGTCCCGTGTCCCCGCTGCCCGTGTGCCCGTGTCCCGTGTCCCCGCAGCCCGTGTGCCCGCTGCCCGTGTCCCCGTGTGCCTGTGTCCCGTGTCCCCGCTCCCCAGCCGAGCTCCTCAGGCCGTGCCTGCCGTGTCCTGCCCCGTGTGGGAGCAGGAACGGGAGGCACGGAGCCCAGCGAGGGGCTGCGGGGCAGGGGCTGCAGCGCCCAGCCAGGCTGCTGTCAGAGCCCCGGTGTGTTTCGTTGCAGGGTGTTTCGGAAGCGGAGCGAGCGCAGTGCCGGGAGGCCCTGAGGGACATCCTGGACCGTGTTTACCAGCCGCTGGCGGTGCAGGAGCTGCTCGTGCTGCAGGGACAGCCCAAGCAGGTACCCACGGCCATCCCCAGCACAGGGCTGTCAGCGCCCGTGCCCCCCTGGTTCCCACACGCCGAGGATGCTGCTCTTCTGGAAATGTTCTTACACCTTAAACACCAGTCCCCGAGCACTGGCGAGGCTGCTGGGTGTGTGTGATTCCAGCCCTGCTGTGCAGGAGCAGAGTGTGGGTGTGTCAGGGACTGTCATCGCCGCACGTGCCACCTTGGCTTGGCACCCACATCTGCCGTGCCCAGCCAAGCACAGCTTCTGCTCCTCCAGACCTCACCCTTCCCACTCTGGGCATGACACAGAGCACCTGCTGCTCTCTGGGGCTGTTCCAGAGTATCCTGGGGAGGAGGAGATGGGGAATCTCTTAAGTGTTGTTTTAGGAAAGTCCCCATGGGATAATGCCCTTAATAGAATCATAGAATCCTAGAATGGCTTGGCCTGGAAGGGAACTCAAAGTTCATCTCATTCCACTCCCTATCATGGGCGGGTACACTTTTTAGTGTCCCAGGTTGCTCCAAGCCCCGTCCCACCTGGCCTTGGACACTTCCAGGGGTGGAGTAGCATGCTAAGCACCTGAGGGCTGACCTCTCATTAATTCCTGATTTGCTTTGTGCCACTGGACGAAGCAGCAGCTCAAAGCCTGTGTCCTGTGCTCTCAGTCAGAGCAGGGGCTGTTTGCCCGGGGCTGGGCTTGGCACAGTGTGTGCAGCAGGCTCCTCAGGTGCTCCTGTGCTCCCTTGCAGCGGTGCCCGGGTGCGGGGGCAGCCCCGGCCTGGCTGCGGCGGCTCTGCGGGCACCTGCTCTCCGAGAGGCTGCTGAGGCCAGGCGGGGTGCACGCCGTGGTTCGGGGCGTCCTGGAGGGCACAGACGGTGAGTGGGGGGCTCTGGGCCCCAGCTTCACAGATGCAGAGGTGTCTTGAGACAGTTCATCCCGTGAGAGGCCCAGAAGAGCAGAGCCACAAGAGCGGGATGTAGGGGCTGCCGTGTGCCAGGCTGAGGTGACATGGTGACACACAGGCTGTCTCTGGCTGTGCTGAACCCCCAAACTGCTCTAATTTGGGGTACACATATGTTAGAGGGCCACACTGAAAGGCTCCAAGCCTGTTTGTGCCTCGATGGGGTCACACACTGTGTGTGTCCAGAGTGGGATCACTCCTGGGGAATGCCCAGTCCCAGTGCCAGTGTGGTGGGAGCTGTAGGGACAGCAAGACTCATCCCATCCCCTGCTCTCCGTGTCCTGCCAGGGAAGGAAGCTGTTGCTCTCCACAAGCTGAATCCCGCAGTTTTTAGTGCCAAAATCTCATCTGGCCAACTCCAACCATCCAAGCACAACCTCTCCCCACCTTTTGGCTCACCCACCTGGCTGTAGGAGTTGCTTTCCATTAGCAGGGCTCTTGCACAGCAGTTTTCCCCTTTCTTTCATTAAGTTCAGGTGTCTCCTGAAAGATCAATAAAAGCTCAAAATCCAATTTTTGGCTAGGAACAGCTGGCTTCAGCCAGAGCTGGCCTGGGTCGGAGCTGACCCAGGATTTCTGCTGCTGTTGTAGGTGGTGCCGGTGCTGAAGCAGCAGCTCTGGACTGGAGGAAATGTGATGCAGTTGGGAAGATCCTGGCTGCCTGCCCCCAGCAGTGCCTGTCCCTCGAGGACTACTACAGACAGGTGTGCCCCCAGGTAAGTCCCTCGTCCCCTCTGCCGGGGAATGCAGAGCCAGCTCTCAGCTTGGAGAGTGCTGGGGCTCTTCCTTCTGCTTGAGTGTGGCCTGGCTCAAGGCAGGAGATGTTTTTCTGACAGTAGGATGTTTCCACTTTTGAATTTTCCATGTTTTACTGAAATGCTGGGTGGTGTTGTCTGATCACACGAGGTACTTGGCACTGTGCTACACAGAGCTCTGTGTGTAGCTCTTGCTTCCAGCCTTTGGCTCTGGGAGTGCTGCAGGGTCCTGCTCCGAGCCCAGAGAGGTATCCTGGGTGTGTGGGAAGGACACTGGCTCTTCCACACACGGATTGCCATGCAAAGCAGCCCATGGTGGCTCCTTGGTTCTGTGGGGTGCCAGGTATCCCCCTCTGAGGCATTGCTGACCCTTGCTTGCTTTTCCTTGCAGATTCTGGACTTGCTGCACATCCAGGACAAAGTGGCGGCGCGGCAGTTCCAGCGCGTGGCCACCAGCACGCTGCTCAGCATGGCCAGGGAGCAGCCAGAGCTGGCAGAGAGGCACCTGCTGCAGCCCCTGCTGGCACCGCTGCGCCGCTGCTCGCGGGCCGCAGGTACCTGCTGCACGGGGGGAGCCTCTGCTGTGCTCCCCGCTGCTTTTTGTCATTCCTTCTGAGTTGTCTCAGGCCAGCAGCCGGGCTGGGGGGTGTGGCAGCCCAGCTCTGTGTGCTGCCCCTGTCAGTTTGTCTGGGTACACTGTATTTACCCTTGAGTGCAGTCACTGCAGCGTGGGAGCTGAGCGCTTTGGCTCTGCCCCGTGCTCCTTGGGAACCTCTCCCAGCCTGAATCCTTGCTCTGGGCTTCAGACAGAAGTTGTTGGTTCCCCACTCTGGCCAGCAGCTCTCTGGGGAATTGTACATCATGGAGTTGTGGTCTGTGTTGATTTCCATGTCTCCTTGGGGGTTTATGACACTACAGCACAATTAGTGTGGCTAATGAGGGCTGCTCTGTTCCCGTGGGGAGGGAAGGGAGCTGTGGAAGTGCTTTTGGGTGCAGGGAATGCAGTTCTGCTGCTGGGGGCTGCGGGCTGTTTTGGGGGGCTCATGTCTCTGCCCTTTGCTTTCAGAGCTGCAGGATTTGACAGCGACAGCAGGGGCCGTGCTGGTGCCCGAGGCAGAGCTGGGCAGCTGTGTGGAAGATGTGCTCAAGGTACCGTGTCTGCTTTGGGTGAGAAAAAGAGCTGGTTTGAGATCTGGTGAGCAGCTCAGTGTGTGTTGGGCCACACAAACCCAGTGTCTCCTGCAGTCATGCTCAGTCTGGTATTCATCTGCAGGAGTACCTCCACATGGGCTGTGCCAGGCCCTCAGCATCCTCACAGGGAAGGATTCCTTCCCAGGACCCCATTCAACCCATCCTCTTGCAGTTGGAAGTCATGGCTCCTTGTCCAAAGTCCCTCTCCAGCCCTCTTGAAGCCCCCTTGGGCACTGTAAGGAGCTCTAAGCTTTCCTTGGAGCACAGATCTTGGTTCTGGCATTTCAGGGATTGGTGAGGTCTATCCTTGTGCTTCCTGTGAAGGACGAGGGCTTTTTGTGGAGGTCTCTCCTGTGACACCTCCCCTCATAACTCCGTTTCCTGCCATTCCCACCAGTAACCCCAGTGCCTCACTGCAGGCTCCAGCAGCTTCCTGCTGCACCTTCCAACCCAGAAGGACATCTCCAGTCCAGGAATTCAAATTTCAGAGGCTGGTGACTTGCTTCCTGGCATGCCCCGAGGCAGGCTAAGCTCTTAAATGCTGGGATTGTTGTCTGTTTTCCCAGTAAGATCTGTTGTAACTGGCTGGCAGGCAGAGACTGGTCTGGAGGGCTGCTCCCTCCCAGAGCAGTGCTGGGGGGGTTGGGGTGGGTCCCTCCTCAATGGCAGAGCACTGGGGGCCTGACAGCAGCCAGATTAGTGAGGGGACCCCTGGTTTGGGGGGATTCTTGCCTAACAAGTGTCATTTGATGCTTAGTGAGAAACCATCCTTGGGGCTTCATCGGGAGGCTTTGTGTACACAAGGGTCTGGGCAGGAGGAATGGCTCCCTGGGGATTAGCACATGAAAACAGGCCTGGGAGCATCAGTGGAGCAGGGCAGGGCCCTGTGGGGGCCATTTCTCAGCCTCTAGGGAGGGTGCTGGATGAGATGGAGGGAAGGAGCAGGGCTCTGGAATACCCCCCTAACCCCTATAGCCCCCCCCAGAACCTCTGCGACCCCTCCAGAGCCTCTGCAGCCCCCTCAGAGCCTCTACAGCATCCCCAAAGCCCCCTTGAGCACCAACAACATTCCCAGAGCCTCTCCAGTCCCCCCAGAGCCTGAGCAGCCCTATGCCTCAGCTCAGCACCCACTAGCCCAACTGCCCTGCTGGTGACTGATCTCTGTGCTTGAGATTTACACTCATTCAGTGAAGATTTGCTCATTCCAGCCTGTTGCATCCCTGGGTAAGGCAGGATCCTACTCCTAAGCAGCAGACTTCCCAAAAAACTGCCTGCAGCCTTCCTGTAGCTTGGAGCCCTGCTGTGGTTAAGCAAATTCTTGGAGAAAGATGGTGCTGAAGGCGGGTTTTAATAGGGAATGTGGCATAATCAGGGAAGCCAGCCTGCAGACTGGAGGAAGAGGCTGGGAGCCCTCCACCCACCATCCCCCCTGCTAGCTGCCCTGTGCACAGAGGTGTTGTGACTCCCCTCTGGCCCGTGCAGGTGTTTGACTGCCCTCCTGTGCCCCTCTCTCCGTAGGTGTATGTGGTTGGGAATGACAGCTCGAGCCTGCTGCTGGGATCCTTGCAGCCAGTGCTGGGAGTGGTGTTTTCCCTCTATTCCTTCGCCAAGCAGAATGTGTCATACTTACGGTAAGGGAGGGTTTGTGCTCTGCTTCTGCTGGGGTTTCATCTGCTGGGGTTTCATCTGCTGGGCTCTGCCCCCTCCAGCAGCCACGCTCAGGGCACAGGCAGGAGCAGAGATCCACCTTCCCACCCCAAAGCACTCTTGTTCCAGGCACGCAGCCTCACGGGCATCCCGTGCCTGAGGAGGCTGTTCTCTTGTTAGTTTTTGTCTTCCCTGAAGCCAGGATGTTTCGTGTAGAGGTGAGAATGCCCTTGGGTGGCTCTGCCTGGAGCAGGGATCGTGGTTATCCATGGATGGAGGGAGTGATGCTGGAAACCAGATGGAGGGTCTACAAATAGCATAAAAAGTGGGAAAGCAGTTTAAGCACTGCCTCTTGGAAGTACAGGATCATTCTCCAATCTGGGATCACTCTCCTCTGGTACAGTCCTGGCAGCTGATCCCCCACACCATGCCCAGCTCCCCGTGACTGGTGTGCAGTGGGGAGCACCACAAGTGCCAGTCGTGGCAGGCACAGGGGTGACCAGGTGCTGGCTGTCCTCTCTCCTTGGTGCCCCCAGGCTTTCCCTGGAGTTAGGAGCAGCCTGGTAAAAGCATTCCTGGTGGGGTTGCACGGTGCTCTGGTGATCCTGGCGTGTGGAGGCTTTCCCTAAAAGGTGTGTGTAGACACAGCCTGTGCTGTTTAATATTAAAGGCCTCGTTAATCACTTCAAAGAGCAGTGAGTGCCGTGACAAGTTGGTGGGATGAGCCAAGTTCACGCTGCTGCTGGGCCAGCAGTCACTGCTTCCTTTGCTGAGGAATTTGGCAGGGATGACTGAGCCCACAGCTGCCTGGAAGTGTTCGGGTTTCCAGACCCCTGGCACGGCCCAGTGCGGCTGCTTCACCTCATTAACCTGCTTCTTCCCTTGGCAGGGCTCCCCGTGCCACCTCAGTGCTCCCATCTCCTTCCTCCTCTGCCTTGGCACTGCCACCAGCCCTTGTCACCCCGGCGTGAGGCACAGGCAGGGCGTGCCAAGGGTGTTCACAGTGCTTCCTTGCCAGCCTGAAGTGTGGAGGAACCCAAATCCTTCCATCTGGGAGCGCCAGAAGGGCAGGATGTGCTGCTGATTCCCTTAGGAACAGGCACAAATGCTTTCACTGCCAGAGCCAGGAGCTGGAGCATCCCAGGGAGAGCCCGTGGCTGCTCCAGAGCACTCCAGTCATGTCCCTCATCCCAAAAGGGATGAGGGAAGGTGCAGTGGGCAGAGCAGTGTCACCACAGGCTCCTTTCTCCTTGACAGCTCCCCGTGCCAGGACATCCTGCTGTGGTTCCTGGAGAAGGCAGAGCGGGAGCAGTCCCTGGCTGTGCTGGAAAGCCTGGCTGGGCTGAGCAGCCACGTGCCCACCCTGCACCCACAGTGCCAGCTCCGTGTGGGCAGCGAGGGCGGTGCTGCCGTCGTCCTGGAGGAAACCATCAGGTGAGTGCTGTGGGACAGTCCCTGGGTCACCCGGCACCCGGGGCTTTCCAGGGAAGCCTGGCAGAGAGCCTGGGCAAAGCAGGGCGCTGCCAGAGCCATCCCACAGGGTCTCATCCCTTCATGTTCAGGCAGGTGACACTTCCACACAGCCCACAGAGCCAGCACAGCCCCCAGGTTCCCTGGACATGGTGCAGAGCTCTGACTTGCAGCCCCAAGAAGCATCACACTCTGAGTGTTGGTGTGCACTCCCTGCCTGCCTGCACAGTGTCTGGGAGGGAGATGTGAATTCCCAATCTCAGCACCCCAAAAATTCAGCTTCCAACCTCCAGGCCGAGCCTGTCAGGTGACACAGTGAGCAGGGTCCCCCGGGCACAGGTGGCATAGTCACAGCACAGACCGTGGCAGTGCCAGCGTGGCGGGGCAGCCTCGGAGCTCCTCTGGCGCGGGCAGATGGCCTCTGAGTGGAGGCAGGGCTGGCCATGCTGGGAGTTAACTGCAGCCTTTAGTGTCCAGCCACGCAGGCTGGGATGTCCAGCAGCAGGAGGCTGGGTTAAAGAGAGGGGCTGTGAGCTGGCAGGAGGGCCAGGGCAGCACCGTGGGGCAGGCAGAGGCACAGCTGTGCCCAGGGGTGTGCTGGGAGCTGGGGGCACCTGCAGCAAAATCCCCACAAATACGTTTGGTTCGGCTTCTTTTCAAGCTTTTCCTGACCTGAGCTAGAATTATGGGCTGGTTTGGGTTGGAAAAGACTTTAAAGCTCATCTTGTTCCACCCCTGCCATCGACAGGGACACCTTCCTCTATCTCGGGTTGCTCCAAGTCCTGTCCAGCCTTGGGGCACTTCCAAGGATGGGGCAGCTGCTCTGGGCAGCCTGTTCCAGGGCCACTCCATCCTCCCCACCCTCACAGGGAAGGATTCTTTCCCATTATCCCATCTAACCCACCTTCAGTCAGTGGGAAGCCATTCCCCCTTGTCCTGTCACTCCACGCCTGTGCTCAAAGTCCCTCTCCAGCCTTTTTATAAACTTTCTTTAGGTACTGGAGAGCCAGAATTAGAGGCAGCTCTGCCTTGCTTAAACTGGGACTACTTTAAACTTGTTCCATCCTGGCTCTGGCTCATGCCCCTGCTGCCACAGCTCTGACCACTGCCTAACTTACCCAGCACTAATCCTGTTGTTTATGGGCTGGATGAAACGTATGTTTTGGGCTCATGGTTTCTGTTAATGAGTGCAGGTTAGTTAATAAGCAGAGCCCAAATGACCTGGGCAACGTTTGGCTCAGCTGCCTGCAGGCTCTGCTGGGAAGTGCTGGGAAGGAAGGCTTCCAGGGAAATGCAGGCTGGGATTTCACCATGCCCTGGAGCCTGGGCATCAGGGGCTTCTGGGTGTGTTTGTGTGGGTGATACAGTGACTTGTTCCAGTGATGAAGATGAGGCCCTGTACCAGAAGATCTCCTTGGAGCAGTGCCATGTGGAGAGCTTGGTGGAGCTCCTGTCCCACTGCCAGAAGAGTGGTCTGGCAGGAGACTTCTTCATCCACTGCCTGAAGGTGAGGGCAGCCAGCCCCTGGTTGGGGCACACCTGCAGAAAGGGGTTCTCTGGACAAAGAGAAGGCAAAAGGGGGATCACCCCCTGTGTGTCCTGGGGTATGGCCTGTGCTGGAGCAGCCCTGTGTGCTGCGTGGGAAGCCAAGGAGTGGGAGCAGCCCTGTCCCTGAAGGGGTTAACCCCCATTCTCCCCCTGGGCTGTTTTAACTACAGGAGCATGTCTGAAATGTGTTGGAGGCTGGGAATAATCTCTGTTGCTTCCTTGGCTCCAGAAGAGGGGCCCCATACCTGCTTCCTTTGATCTCACTTGGAGCCCCCCGCGGCTCCCTCCAGGCCTGGGTTGGGCTGGGATTCTGTGCCCCTGCCCATAGGGGATGGGGATGGAACACCCAGGAGCTGTGGGCAGCTCTCAGAAACCTTCATCCAGCAGCTGGGGGGTGGTGGTGGAGCGAGGAGTCAGCTGGCATTGCGGGCACTGGCTCCTGCTGTTTAACCGCTGCCTCGCCGTGCCCGCGCTCCCTTCCCGGCAGGAGCTGACTCAGGTGGCTGCGGAGGATGAGGAGGCTCCAGACCCAGCCGTGCAGCCTGCAGGGAGCTTGCTGGAGCTGGAGCAGTACCAGGCCAGGCAGGGGAGGAGGCTGCTGGTGCTGCAGCTGGTGGCTGCGCTGTGCGAGGGCGTCTCCGACACCGTGTTCACTGACATTGTGCAGGTTGGTGGTGGCAGAGCCCGGGGGCACCGGCTGAGCACTGCCAGGAGCAGGGGCTGGAGCAGCTGGGATTGCTCAGCCTGGGGAAGAGAAGGGTCCAGAGTGACCTTTAGAGAAACATCCAGGCCTTAAAGGAGCTCCCAGAGAGCTGGAGAGGGACTTTGTACAAGGGCCTGGGGTGACAGGACAAAGGGGAATGGCTTCCCCCTGACAGAGGGCAGGGTTAGAAGGGACATAGTGAAGAAATTCCTCCCAGTGGGAGTGGTGAGGCCCTGGCACAGGTTGCCCAGAGAAGTGGCTGTGCCATCCATGGAAGTACCCAAGGCCAGTCTGGATGGGAGCAACCTGGCTGGCATAACTGTGCTCCTACATTCATGAATGGGCAGTGCCAAGTGTATTAAATACTGTAATTCCAAAGGCCACTGGTGCCCCTTGGTCCCAAAAAGGATATTTAGAATCTTTTCCCCTGAGCCTGCCCTGGATGGGGTCGGTCAGGAGGCAGCTGGGCACCGAGGGCAGCCTGGCAGTCCTTGTGGATCCCCTGCAGATCCGGTGGCTCTGAACTTCCCCATCCTGTGTTTTATTGCTGCTTTTCCCCCGGTGCCCAGCCATGCCAGCTCCGCATGCCGTGGGCAGGGGCAGGTTTCCTCACGTTTCCTTCGGGACAAAGGAGCCTTTGTGTGCTCAGCAGCAAGGGGACACAGCCAGCGGCGCTTTGTCCCCACCTGCCTCCCATCACAGCCCTGCCGGGCCCGAGGGGCGCGCTGGGACATGGGGAAGGGCTCTGCCAGGTTCCAGGGTCCAGCTGGAGTCTGGGATAAAAACCCACCACCAAAGAAATGCAGACAAAAAATCCATTCTCCTCCTGCCCGGGGTTGTGTTTCAGCGAGGCCCCGGGCTGGGACAGGGACAGGCTTTGAGCAGGTTCTGCACTCTGGGGTTCCCTGGGGTGTTTGGGGGCCCCAGTGGGGTGGGAGCAAGTGGGATCCATCCTGCCAGAGCTGGAGCCAGGAGCAGCAGCTGCTGTGCCCCCCTCACTGCACATTTATTTTATTTACGTATTCTCCTCCACAACCAAGGTCAATTTGATTTCCTCACTGCACCAAGGATTCTCTCCTCCTGCCCCAGACACAACTGTGCCCCAATGTTTTATTTTTCCTTTTTTTTCCCTCCCACTTTAAAATGGTTTTTTTTTTTCTAGATTATTTTTTGAGTTTTCATTTTTCTCAGTTAAAATCTACTGTTATTTATTCACTATTTTATTTTTTTAATATTAAGTATAACTTCAACCCCTCCAGCTCATGTGTCACTGTGTTGTGAGAGCAAATGTTCTAATTTTTTTTACTTGCTGTTTGATGCAATTTCTTCTCTGGAATAATTATCCCAGCAGGTACCTGAGCCTTTTATGCAGCCTTTTCCAAAGCCTTTTTCCACAGCCTCCCTTCTTGCTTAAGGAATCTGGCAGCTGAGGAGGAAATGCTGCCTGCACCCAGTGCCCTGGGGGTGGAAGTTTGGAATTTGGTGCAAGAGGACCTTGTTGCCCTCATGCTTTGTTTTCTGAAACAGGAACACAATAGTTCCTCCTCTGTTGAGCACACCTGTTAGGTAGGAGTGACCCTGATGCAAACCCTTCCCAGGCTTGTCTGGGAGAAGATAAGGCATGGAGAACATCAACTCCCTTATTTCAGGATCTGTTGGGAAGGCAGGACGCCTGTGGGATCAAAGGTGTTGGTGCCAAGTGTGGAGAAGGCCAATGCCAACCAGGCAGGGTCGTTACATGTGGAATAAAAATACTGTGGGAAAAATCCCAAAGTAAGGAGAGCACAGGAAGGGCTCAGCTGGAGTGTCAGCTGAGCAGGATAAGGGGGAGGCTGGTGTGAAGAGTTGTAGACAGGGGCTGGAGCTCCTTGGCTCTGGGATTTCCAAGCCTTTACCTGGGGCAATTCCATACAGCCCCACCTTGAGCTTCCCTTTGGGACTGTGCCAGCTTCCATCCCATGGTGGAGTCAGGCAGGAGGCAGAGATGGAGCTGGGATCCCTCTGTTCCTCCAGCCCCAGGGGGACTTCTGCAGCTGAGAGACCCCCCCAGTTTGACCATCATCTTGTCCCAGCTGTGGACGTGACTTGGCTGAGCCCACACTGGGATTGGGGTAGCAGCAGCAGGAGGAAAATGGGAAGGATTTCTCAGAATTACAGAATCAAAGGATTTCTCAGAATTACAGAATCAAAGAATGTTCTGAATTAGAAGGGACCCACAGGGATCATTGAGTCCAACTGCTGGCCCTGTACAGACACCCCAAAATCCCACCCTGTGCATCCCTGAGAGCGGTGTCTGAAGGCTGTGGAATTGTTCTGGAGATTGGGATGGGGAGACTCGTTTGTGTGGGATTGTTCTGGGGAGCTGTGTGGGACAGGGACACTGGGCTGGGCGCAGGGGCAGCGGGAGCTGGCTGTGGAATTGTTCTGGAGATTGGGATGGGGAGACTCGTTTGTGTGGGATTGTGCTGAGAGCTATGTGGGATGGGGACACTGGGCTGGGCACGGGGGCAGCGGGAGCTGCAGGGGGCTGCAGGAGGCTGCAGGGGGGCTGCAGGGGAGCTGCAGGGGAGCCGCAGGGGGGCTGCAGGGGAGCTGCAGGGGGGCTGCAGGAGGCTGCAGGGGGGCTGCAGAGGAGCTGCAGGGGGGCTGCAGGGGGGCTGCAGGGGCACTGCCCGGTGTCCCTGCTGCTGACAGTGTTCCCTTGGCAGGTGCAGCAGTTCCTGGCGGCCGTGCTGCAGCGGGCCTGTGCCCACCCTGCGCGGGGCCCCGGCGCGGCGGCCGAGGCGCAGACCCTCGCCATGGCCATGGGGCTGGTGGCTGCCGTGCTCGGCGGGGCTGTCCAGGTGAGGGGGCGTCCTTGGGGGGCGTGGGGCTGCCACACCCAGCCGAGGGTGCAGTGGCACAGCTGGGTCCCTGCTTGGGGTCCCTGCAGCCTGTAAATGGATATATAGATATATAATGATCTTCCTTGGGGCAGTGCCAGCTTGCTGACCAAGGATTCAATCAGAGCAGGGCACTCCAAGAGCCCAATTAACTCATTTATAATCTCTCCTAAGAAGGCACTGACAGAGCAGTGCAGTCACATACAGCATCTTTAAATGACAGCAGTGCACCCTCTGCATCCCCACACGGTCACAGACTGGCTGCAGAGCATTGTGAACTTCACATGTACCCTTGAAAATCCCCTTATACTTTTATATTTACATTTTATACATATTTATATTGTTATTTATATCTCTCAGTTACCTTGTAATACCTATATATATATATGAGCTCTGTGTCACTCAGTGGAGCTGCCATGGGGAGCAATGGCACATCCATTAATGTGCTGCCATCACTGAGCTGCTGGGGTTGTTCCATCCCTGGATTTGCCCTAAGGAAGATCCAGCTGTTAACAGAAGAAGATAATTTATTGTCTCTTATTGCTAAATTTCTAATACTGGGAAAAGAACTGTAGTTGAAGAGAAGTTAAAGCCAGAGTCTTGTGGCTGCAATGGTCCCCTCCCAGGCGAGTTCCTGCTCCCACTTCTGCATTAATGGGAGTGATATAATTTGGAAAATGGAATGGGAAAGGTTTTGGAAGCAGCTGCAGAGCTGTTTGGGTTTCAGCGGGCGAGGGGCTTTATGCAATCATCCAAAATCTCTGCTAAAGCCCCCTTTTTCAGGCCTCACATCCCAGATTTTAGCAGCTAAATCCAGGTTAGAGCAGGAGCTTCTCCAGCTCAGGACAGGTCATGGCTGCTGTGCTGGGAGCATCCTTCCAGGCAGGACTGCTGGCAAGTCTGGCACAGTGCTGGTGGGAGGGATGTCCCTGGCTTGGTCCCCTGCTGTTCTTCAGGTTCACGTGCTTCCCAGCTTCTCCCGTGGCTGCTGCCAGGGCTGGGATTGGCACTGGGGTTGGCACTGGGCTGAGAGGAGCTCATAGTGCCTGGAGGCTGGCTCATGACCTGGGGACAGGGCTCTGGGGCTCCTCACCCCCCTGAGGGAGCATCCAGGGAGGGAGCCCTCGTTACCCTGGTGCCAGCGCTGCTCCTCTCGCTCCGCAGCTGAAACCCGGCGATTTCGCGGTGCTGAAGCGGCTGGTGCCGCTGCTGGAGGAGCTGTCCCGCACCTACCCCGAGCCCCTCACCCAGGAGCTGGCCTCGGACCTGCGCATCGCCATCCTCACCCACGGCGCCTGCTGCCCCGGCACGCTGGGCACCGCGGCCGACGCTGTGCTGGGCAGGACGGCCGGCACGGCAGCACAGGGCCCTGCTGGCACCACAGCACAGGGCTCTGCTGGCACCGCAGCACCGAGCCCTGCTGGCACCAAAGCACCGAGCCCTGCTGGCACAGCAGCACCGAGCCCTGCTGGCACCGCAGCACCGAGCCCTGCTGGTACCGCAGCACCGAGCCCTGCTGGCACCAGAGCACCGAGCCCTGCCGGCACCACAGCACAGAGCCCAGCTGGCACCGCAGCACCGAGCCCCAGCTGAAACCCGGCGATTTCGCGGTGCTGAAGCGGCTGGTGCCGCTGCTGGAGGAGCTGTCCCGCACCTACCCCGAGCCCCTCACCCAGGAGCTGGCCTCGGACCTGCGCATCGCCATCCTCACCCACGGCGCCTGCTGCCCCGGCACGCTGGGCACCGCGGCCGACGCTGTGCTGGGCAGGACGGCCGGCACGGCAGCACAGGGCCCTGCTGGCACGGCAGCACCAAGCCCTGCTGGCACCGCAGCACCGAGCCTGGCTGGTACAGCAGTACAGAGCCCAGCTGGCACGGCAGCACCGAGCCCTGCTGGCACCAAAGCACCGAGCCCGGCCGGCACCACAGCACCGAGCCCTGCTGACACCGCAGCACAGGGCCCTGCTGACACCGCAGCACCGAGCCCTGCTGACACCGCAGCACCGAGCCCGGCTGGCACAGCCCCCGGCCCCGCAGCGCTGCGGCACCCACACAGCAGCCCCTCCTCGGCTCACAGGGAGAGCAGCAAGGAGCAGAGCACAGCCCGTGAGCCCGGTGCCTCTCCAGCCCCAGGTGCCGACTGCTGGCACCGCAGCACCGAGCCCTGCTGGTACCGCAGCACCGAGCCCTGCTGGCACCAGAGCACCGAGCCCTGCCGGCACCACAGCACAGAGCCCAGCTGGCACCGCAGCACCGAGCCCGGCTGGCACAGCCCCCGGCCCCGCAGCGCTGCGGCACCCACACAGCAGCCCCTCCTCGGCTCACAGGGAGAGCAGCAAGGAGCAGAGCACAGCCCGTGAGCCCGGTGCCTCTCCAGCCCCAGGTGCCGACAGCCTGGCCCCGGCTGGGCTCCAGGAGCTGCTGGTGGCAGCCTACGACCCCCAGCCCCCCAGCCGGGCAGCTGCCCTGCGCCGCCTCGCCAGCCTGGTCACCCAGCGGCATCCAGAGGCACTTCGGCTTCAGGAGAAGCTGCTGCAGGTACCCGGCTCCTGCTGTGGGCCCTGTCCCCTGCCTTGGTCCCCGTCCCCTGCTGTGTCCCCTGCCAGCAGAGCAGGAGAGGTGGTCACGGTTATTGGAGCCCTCTGGCCTTGCTGGCCCAGCCCAGGGTCACTGCTGATGGCACTTCCCTTCCTTCCAGGTGTTCCTGGAGAATGTGCAGCACGAGGACGCCTTTGTCTACCTCTCAGCCATCCAAGGTGAGCAGTGCCTGTCCAGGCGAGTGCCAGCCCTTTGTCAGGGAAGGTTTTGTGCTATGGAGGCTCTGCGCCCTGGGAGTGAAGAGCAGGAGAGCCGTGGCCAGGCTGAGGGCTTGGCATCTCCTGCCCTCCCAGACTGTGGCTTTGTGGTGTTCCATCAAGCCTGGGGCCACATGTGGGCTCTATGCCGAGTTCCTGAAGCTGGAGACTTCATCTCCCAGTTATTCTTACTCCCTGGAGCTGGTCTGTGCCTCAGGTCTGGGGCTGCAGTTCCAGTACAGCGTGGGCACAGCCCCAGCACCCACGGAGGGGCCTGTTCAGCTGAGGCTGGCAGAGGAGCAGGACGTGGGAGACCCACTGGTGCTCCCTCAGGGCTCTGCCAAGGTGGCAGCTCCTGAGTACTCACACCCGTTCCTAGGAAGCGCTCAGGTCAGTGCTTGCCCCAGCACGCTGTGGGATCTGCAGGCAGGTGCTTCCGCGCGGGTGACGTGCGTGTCCTGTGTGACAATGCGCGGTCACGGTCCCCTGCGTTCCGCGGAGGGCACGGGTGCCATTCCCTTGGCCCGCGTTGGGTTGGGTTGGTAACCTTTGGCAGCAGCTGGGAAAGGAGTTGCTGCCGTGCTTCCCGCTGCCTGTACGGTCTTGAGAGGGACGGGCCTGTCCTTGCCCAGGGCTGGAGCACAAAGGCTGCACCGTCCCGGTGATTAACGCGCTGCAGCTGCCCCGCTCGCTGATTAACCCTGATGCAGTTCCTCGCAGCTCTGACTCACCCGGCACCTGTGCCGTGCCGAGCCGTGCCGTGCCAAGCGCAGGGCCGGGGGCCAGGCCAGACAGGTCCCCATATCCTGCTTGCTCCCTGTCGCAGCAGCGGGGCTGGGTGAGGCAGCGGTGGTAACACCGCTGGGTTTCATGGAGCCGGACTGCAGTGGTGTACTGGATATCACTCCTGGAGTCCTGGGGGCAGTTTTGGGCCCCTCATCCAAGACAGTCATTGAGGGGCTGGAGTGTGTTCAGGGCAGGGCACTGGAGCTGGAGAAGGGTCTGATCCCTGCATCTGGGATCTGATCTCTCATCAGCCCCAGGGAGATGCAGCTGGCATGCAACACACACTGGCTCCTGCTCCCAGTCTGGGCCAGGTAAATCCAGCAGGGACAGACACAAGCTGGCACCGTGTGCAGATGGCCAAGGGCTGGGAGCAGTGACCAGACCCTGTGCCCAAGCATTGCCTGCAGTGCCAGCTGCCCCCAGAGCAGCAAGTCCTCACTGGGTCAAAGGGCATAGCCAGCAGCAGTGAGTGGACACCTGCTGCCAACTGCTAAATTACTGATTTTCCAGTTTTTCTCCCCTCCAGGCGTTGCTCTGCTCTCCAGTGAGTATCCAGAGCGGATTCTGCCCGTCCTGCTGGCACAGTACGAGTGCCCAGCACAGGGCAGAGAGGACACCATGGCTGCTGTCACCAGGATGAAGCTGGGCGAGGTGCTGATGCGTGTCACCCGGGCGCTGGGTGAGTCCATGGCCGTGGGCATGGCACTGCCCACTGCCAGCAGCCACAGCGCTGCTCAGCCTCACCATTGCCAGGGGAAAGCCCACAGGGGACTCTTGTTGTCAGAAGGTGAGCAGGGTCTGAAAGCCAAAGAGAAGCTGGCTGGGTTTGCCAGCAGCAGGATGGCAGGTCCTGCCAGCAGCCCACCATCCCCTTGTTTGGCAGCACCGGGCTGGGAGACTGCCGGGAAGCGCCCGGACACGCCGGGCTCACAGCTAAAAGCTGGATGATGCCTTTCCGGCATCTGCTGTTGGGACACGTCCTAAAATGCCTTGTCTGACTCTGTGGAGGAGGCCTGGCCAGCGGGAGCACTCAGCTGGAGCTGTACATGGCCAGGGAGGTGGCAGCCAGTGTCCACGGTGCTGGGGCAGCCAGGCAAAGCTCCCTGGTCACCGGCTGGGAGCTGTGTGCCTTGGCTGGGCATGCCCCTGAAGGGCCAGCAGCCCCTGGCTCCTGGGACTGTGATTCTCCTGTGGCCTGTGGCAGGTTCCTTGGCACCAGTGGCGTCCCTGGGTTCTGCCAGCTGTGGCATCAGTGCCTGGCTGTGCCACCATCCGTCCTCGCTGCTGGGATGGGTTCAGGGCATCCCGCTGTGTCCTGTGGGGCTCCAGCGGTCAGCTCAGAGCCCCTCAGTCCCAGACCTCCCCAGGCAGTGTCCGAGTGCCTGGCGTGGTGCAGGCTGCCCTCGGCAGCTCCCCGGGGACGGTGGCAGCTCCTGCCCTGCTCTCTGGGCTCGCCGTAGTGCCGCTGCCGCGGGCAGCTGCGGCGCGTCCCGGCTCGCCGGCGTATTTATAGAACAAATTGCACCAGGTTGTTTCTGTTGCAAAGCTTCAGCATCTGAGAGCAAGGATTTATCCAGCACTTCAGGATCGCTGCGCAGCTCTCTGGGGCTCTGAGCTCTCCTCTCTGCCAAGAGGCTGTCATGCCCCCTCTGCCCTGTGCCCAGCCCTGTTCTCTGTCCCACTGGAGTGGCTTTCCCTGTCTAGGAGAGGAAAGGAAGTGTTGCATGCTCCTTCTGTAGCCATCTGGCACAGGGGCTGGAGCACTGCTGGCTTTGGAGGGGATCCCTCTCAGATCACCCTGCACTGCTCATACTGCTGGAATTCCAAGTCCTGGGATGCAGGCACAGAGCATGATACATTCCCAGCAAGTCCTTGGCATCACAGTGCTGCCCCGTGCTCCCCCAGCCTGTGCCAGTCCCAGCCCTGAGCCCCCACGTGCTGGGTGGTGGGGGGCTTCCACTGCCCACAAGGATCATTCCTGTCTCCACACCCTGGGGCATCCCAAGGCATCCACCCCACTGCCTCCACCAGGACACCATTGTCCGAGGAGTTTCCAGAGCTTGAGAGAGCTGGAAAAGCACAGAACTCACAGGCCAGCTGGCCTTCTGGAGCTTTCTTTCAGCCCTCAAGGCCCTGCCTGGCAGGAGGTGTGTCCACACCGTGGGGCACACAGCTGCTCAGCTCCTGTGGGATGACCACACTCCCACAGGAGAGGGATGGTTGTGGATGCTGAGCACGGGCGTGAGCTCTCATTAGCAGCTCACACCTCCACAGCACCTCTGTGTGCTAATTGGGGCAGGGGATTGGGTCTGGATGATGTAGAAATTTGAGATTCACACTTGATGTGTTTGCAGGGCTGAGTGAGGGGTGTGCTGAGGGGCACAAGCCACACTCCAGATGTTGCATCCAGCTGTTCAGTGGTGTTGCAAGGCAGATGCCCAGCCCATCTGTTCCCAAAGGAGAACTTTGGCAGGAAGGGTGGTGACAGAGCTCTGCTCTCCCTGGCAGGGGACATGGTGTTCCAGCACCGGGAGCCGCTGATCCACGCCTTCCTGCGGGGTGCCCGCGATCCCGACAGTGCCCTGCGTGCCAGCAGCCTCTCCAACCTGGGCGAGCTCTGCCAGCACCTGGGCTTCCAGCTGGGGTCCATCATCCAGGAGGTACGGCTCCATCCTTCCCTGACCCTGCCTGGGGAGCCTGGGGCCTCTCCTTAACGAGTGCATTTGTTAGCGCCTGCTTGGGCTGCCCAGGACATGGAAATGGGACATTTCCATATGGAAACGGGACATTTCCATAAGGGACGTGAGTGATAATTGCTGATATTGAGGAGTATGAAAGCCATGGGGCCTGAAGCAAACACTGGGAAAGTTCTAGCCTTCTAGCCCTGATTTTTAGGTGCCTGCTCCACCCATGGCAGCCATTGCCAGAGGAGACCTGGGGGCACAACTGGTGCTTGCCAGAGACACCTCCCGCTTAATGACACCTTGTTACTCTCCCGTTATCTTAATTATCATTATCAGCATCATCAGTATCAGGGAGCTGGCCCTCACCCGCCCCGGCTGCAGGCTGTGGGTGAGATGCAGCTTCAGGAGCTGCTGGGAGATCCCAGTGGGGTGAGCCCGACTCCCAGGGGCCCAGCAGCCCTGGAGGCGATGGGTCTGTGCCCTGTGGGAGCCAGAGCTTCACCCCCACACCCCCCGGTGCTCCTGGAGTGAGGCATTTTGGGTTTGGCACTGGGGCTGCTCCCCTCAGCTCCGGCTCGGCGCCGGTGGATCCCGGCAGTTGATGCGATGCCAGGGAGCCACACGCTGCTATTTTGAGAAGGTGTGAGCTCTGCTAATTCTCCCGGCTGTCACTGCCGGGATTTAATTGGATTCCTTTGGCTCTGCCTGATTTTCATACAGACTCTTACACAGCTTCCTGAGGCATCCATGTGCTGCCGGGAGCTGCTCGGAGCCTGCACCCAGCGGGGCATGGGGCTCCCATCCTCCTTCCTGGGACAGTGGCTGCTCCGGTGGGATCCCCTGCATTTCTCAGTCCCTGATGATGCCCCCCTGCCCTGTCCCCACAGGTCACCTGCTGTGTGACAGCCATAGCCCGCACAGACCCCGAGGCTGAGGTGCGCCGAGCTGCTGTGCACGTGGTGGTGCTGCTGCTGCGGGGGCTGAGCGAGAAGGTCACTGAGGTGGGTCAGCCCCTGCCTGTCCCTGGGGCAGGGACAGCCCCCAGGGGTCATGGGTGTACCTTGGGGAGGGCTTGTGCTCTGTAGGGGCTGCAGGGCTCATTCCCAAACGGCTTCCAGGGCTCATTCCCAAAGGGCTTTCAGGGCTCATTCCCAAACAGCTTCCAGGGAAAGTCCTAAGGGACTGAGATGCCCAGTTTGGGCATCCCCCACTAAAGGGTTCCCTCAACAGATCCTGGGAAGGGGGTCTTTGTGGGGGCGTCCCTCGGAGCTGCTGGGCTGTGCCATGGACAGTGCCATGCCATGCTGGGGGCAGTGCCAGCTCATGGGAGCTGTGGGAGTTGTTCATCCCTGATTTGCCTTGGAAATGCCCGGTTTTTCCACCACTGTGGCCTCCCTCCGCAGTTCCCAGTAACAAGCGTGTTGGGACTCAGCTCCCGTGGGGGAAACAGCCAGTTCCCCACGGGAATCCCCACAGCCGGGATCCCGGCATGCCCGGTGCCCCTGGGCTGGAGGATCACCGCACCGTGCTGCTGGCCTGCGGGGAAACTGAGTCACGGCGGCGGCCGCAGCGGGGGAAGGGGAGCCCTGCCGGGGCCGTGCTGACGCTGCCGTGCCGTGCCGTGCCGTGCCAGGTGCTGCAGGACGTGCTGCTGGAGCTGTACCGCCTGCTGAAGCACGTGGTGGCGGCCGAGCGCGACGCCGCGGCGGTGCTGCACGCGCAGCTGGCGCTGCAGGAGCTGGATGCTGCCGTGAGGAGGGTCCTGTTCCCCCCGCAGACGCTGCAGAAGAAGATCGTGGTGCTGCCATAGCGGGGCCGAGCCCGTGGGGGCCAGCTGCTCCTCTCTGGGGCCATGCTCCCCCAGGGAAGGCTTGCTGTGCCCTCCAGGACGCCGCTGGCGGTGTCGCGTGGCAGGGCAGCCTCGCTGGGACGAGGTGTGGGATTAAACTGAGACATGCTCAGCCCTGTGTCCGTGGTGTCTGTGGGGCCACACAACGCTCACGGGTGCCATCATGGGCATGTCCCATACCCTGTGTGTGTGGAGGGTGGGCATCACCCCCAGGGTGAGCCTGAGCTGGGCAAGCAGCTGGCAGGGCCAGTGCTTCAGGCTCCCTTTGGCTGGGCAGCACCCAATGTGTGGCTGTCCCCGAGGGGAGTCAGGAGGGAGGGGGTTCTGCTGCCTGCACCCCCAGAGTGGAATTCTGTGGCCTCTCCTTGGCACTGTGCTCCCACCACAAGAATGCTGAAGAGTCTGGGGGCTCCCTCACCACGGGGTGTGAGGATGGGCCCCTCTGGTGTGGCACCAAGAGCCCCTCCATGCTGAGGAGGGGCTAAGAGACCCTGCAGGGTCCCTGGCTGGGACCACCACTCACCACTTTGTGCTCAGGGATCCCCCAGCATCAGTCACCTCCTCCCTCCAGGCAGGGCTGCAGCCCCATGGGCCCCACTCCTGCACTGGGAGCTGCTGCACACCCACAGTGTGGGGGGAGCAGAGTCCTCAGGGACCCAGCTTGGTGGCCCCTGGCTCTGGGCAACCCAGCCCCACCGTGCACAGCCCCAGGAGCCCATTTCCCAGCTGCCCTGTGTCCTGCCAAGTGTGGGGCATCCAGCACCTCCCTTCCCTGCAAGGCTGGGAGTGCTGGCCATGTTGCTCCTGCTGCAGGGATCCCCGTTCCCGGCTCCTGGTGCTCAGGGGCTCCAGCATTACCTCACACCCACTCCCAGCACAGCAGGACACGGCTGGGCTGAGAAACCCAAAAGTGCTGAATTTGAGCCCCGAGTTGAGCCCGTGCCTCCTGCAGACTCAGAATGGCCCCTCCAGGAGCTGGCTGTCCCCTGCCGTCAGGCTGGCACAGGGACAGCGTGCTGCTGTCCCCAGGATGACCCACAGCCACGGGGACAGGGTGACACGGGTGGCTCTGCCGGGGGGGACAGGAAGGTGACACGTGGGTGTCATGAGAGGGGTCCCAAGAGCGGGGCAGGGGGAGGTGGAGGGGCCGCTCCCTGTCCCTCTCCTGCCACTGGTTTGGGGGTGACAGGGGACACCTTCCCAGTGCCTCCTCCACCCCGAGCGCCCCCGAGGTCCCCGGGGCTGGCTCCGAGCCCTGCCCGCACCTGATGCCGGTGCCGGGCGATGGTGATGCCGGTTCCGGTGCAGCCCCGGAGCCGCTGCCGGTGTAGCAGCGGTGCCGTGATGCCTGCGATGGTGCTGGTGCCGGTGCAGCGCTGGTGCTGCTGATGCCGGTGCCGCCGGTGCCGGTCATCACTCCCGCAGTGCGGGGCTGGGGCCGGTGCCAGGTACTGCCGGTGCGGGGCGGGTTCCCGGGGCTTGCGGGCGGAGCTGGAGCCGGTGCCGGTGCTGGTGCCGGGGGCGGTGCCGGCGGTGCCGGTGCCGGTGCTGGTGCCGGGCGGGGCCCCCGCGGGCTGCGGGCGGTGCCGGCCCCGCCGCGGTATAAAGGGGCCGCACGGGCCGGGCCGGGCGCACAGCGGCGGCGGCGGGTGGGGAGCGGCGGCACCACCACCGGCACCTCCACGGTGAGTCCCGCTCCCTCCTTCTCCCTCCCGGCCCGCTGGTGCCGGCTCGCGGTGCTGTGAGATCGGCAGCGCCGGAGGCTGCGGGGCCGGGGGTAACGGGCAGCCGGGAGCGCCGGGGGCTGCGGGACCGGGAGGAGCCGGGAGCGCCGGGGCTGCGGGACCGGGAGGAGCCGGGAGCGCCGGGGGCTGCGGGAGCGGGGGTGAGCCGGAGGGGGCTGCCCGGGAGGTGCGGCCGGGGGTCCCTGGCGCTGGCTCCGCGCCCTGCCCGCACCCCCGCACGTGCTCCCGCACCCCCGACCTGCCCGCGCCCCCTGCCCGCGTCCCGGGGCGCCTCCGCAGTCCCGTCCTGGCCGCGCTGCTCGTCCCGTCCCGCAGCGGGGTGCGGGTCCGGCCGCTGCCATCCCCGCAGCCGGGGGTCCCACCGCACGCGGCGGGGCCGAGGAGGCTCTGGGCGGCCGCGGTTCCCCGGGGACAGCGCGGTCCCTGACATCGCCGTGCCCTTCCCTGTCCTCCAGCCCAGCCATCGCCTGCGAGCAGCCGTGCTCCTGCTCGGCTGGATGGGGGGTGCTGGCGCTGTGCTCGGCGGGGCGCTTGGGACCCCTGCACCTCGCCTGGCACCGCACACAGCGGGTGTGTGGGACCCCCGCACCTCCTCGGGCCCCGCGGAGGCACTGGGGAGGTGTCACTCCCAAACCAGGGACCGGTGAGGGACAGGGTGGCCGTGGGGCAGCAGAGCAGCAGGGCCACCCCGCTTCTGCCTTCTGGGTGACCTGACGGGGAGGACGCGTGCCTGCCCTGATGGTGCCCCGTGTCCCCCAGATGCCAGGGAGCCTCTCCACGGCCCTGCGTGTCGTGGGGACCAGCCTGTTCGCCCTGGCGGTGCTGGGGGGAATCCTGGCCGCCTACGTCACAGGGTACCAGTTCATCCACACGGAGAAGCATTACCTCTCCTTCGGGCTCTACGGGGCCATCCTGGGGCTGCACCTCTTCATCCAGAGCCTCTTTGCCTTCCTGGAGCACCGGCGCATGCGGGGCGAGGGGCAGCCGGTGCGGCCGGGGCGCTCGGTGGCCCTCTGCATCGCCGCCTTCCAGGAGGATCCCGACTACCTGACCAAGTGCCTGCGCTCTGTCAAGCGCATCGCCTTCCCCGACCTCAAAGTGGTGATGGTGGTGGACGGGAACGGCCCCGACGACACCTACATGCTGGACATCTTCCGCGACGTGATGGGCTCTGAGCGCTCCGGCAGCTACGTCTGGAGGAGCAACTTCCACGCCTGGGGCGAGGGGGAGACGGAGGCCGGGCTGCGGGAAGGGCTGGCCCGCGTTCAGGCGCTGGTCCGCAGCAACACCTACTCCTGCATCCTCCAGAAGTGGGGAGGGAAGCGGGAGGTGATGTACACGGCCTTCCGGGCACTCGGAGACTCCGTGGACTATATCCAGGTGCGTGCATGGGCTGGGGGATGTGGGCAGTGAGATCCTGGGCTCAGGGGCTGTGGGTGGAACGGGAGCAGCTCTGGGAATCCCCAGTAGCACCTGGGTGCCTGGCACTGGATCTGGCCCCATGCACTGGCCAAGAGCCACCAGGGCTGGGGGCCATGGCTCTGGGGTGGCTGAGGTGTTGACTGCTGCCCAGGGTGTCCCCTCACCTCCTCAGCACACGGCCTGCTATGGTGTCATCCCGTGGGACAGTGTGGCACCGGGTGCCTGGGACAGGTCCTCCCTCGGTGCCAGCAGCCAGAGATGGGTGTCCTGGGCAGCGGTGCCCCAGTACCACCGGGTGCTCCGCTCCCCTCCATCGCCTGCCGGTCTCCGGGGCTCTGCCTGGTCTCGCCGTCCGTGGCTCAGGCTTGCCTGGCTGTGGGCTGGGCTGTCTGCCGGGCGCGCGTGGGCGGCGGGAGCGGGGCTCGACGTTCCCTCTGCCCCCAGGTGTGTGACTCAGACACGGTGCTGGACCCCGCCTGCACGGCCGAGATGCTCCGCATCCTGGAGGCCGACCCCCACGTCGGCGGCGTCGGCGGCGATGTCCAGGTACCCTGGCACAAGGGAGGGCAGGGCCGGGGGCCCCAGGGGGCCGCGGCACTGCCGGGGCTCACATCCATGCCCTCCCCAGATCCTGAACAAGTACGACTCGTGGCTGTCCTTCCTGAGCAGCGTGCGGTACTGGATGGCCTTCAACGTGGAGCGCGCGTGCCAGTCGTACTTCGGCTGCGTGCAGTGCATCAGCGGCCCCCTGGGCATGTACCGCAACGCGCTGCTGCAGCAGTTCCTCGAGGACTGGTACCACCAGACCTTCCTGGGCAGCAAGTGCAGCTTCGGGGACGACCGGCACCTCACCAACCGCGTGCTCAGCCTGGGCTACCGGACCAAGTACACGGCTCGCTCCAAGTGCCTGACGGAGACGCCCACGCGGTACCTGCGCTGGCTCAACCAGCAGACCCGCTGGAGCAAGTCCTACTTCCGCGAGTGGCTCTACAACGCGCTCTGGTTCCACAAGCACCACCTCTGGATGACCTACGAGTCGGTGGTCACCGGCTTCTTCCCCTTCTTCCTCATCGCCACCGTCATCCAGCTGTTCTACCGCGGCCGCGTCTGGAACATCCTGCTGTTCCTGCTGACGGTGCAGCTGGTGGGTGTCATCAAGGCCACCTACGCCTGCTTCCTGCGCGGCAGCGCCGAGATGATCTTCATGTCCCTCTACGCCCTCCTCTACATGTCCAGCCTGCTGCCCGCCAAAATCTTCGCCATTGCCACCATCAACAAGTCGGGCTGGGGCACCTCAGGGCGCCGCACCATCGTGGTGAACTTCGTGGGGCTGCTGCCAGTGTCGGTGTGGGTGGCGGTGCTGCTGGGCGGGCTGGCCTACACCGCCTACAGCCAGGACCTCTTCAGCGAGACCGAGGTGGCCTTCCTCGTCTCAGGTGCCATCCTCTATGCCTGCTACTGGGTGGCCCTGCTCACCCTCTACCTGGCCATCGTCGCCCGCCGCTGCGGCAAGAGGCAGGAGCAGTGTGGGCTGGTCTTCGCTGAGGTCTGACCGTGGGGTGGGCCCGTGCCAGGGTTGTCCCAGGTGCCACGGTGATCTGACGTGTCAGGGTAACCACCGCCGTCCCCTCTTCCCCAGGTGCTGGGGTGATCCCACGTGCTGGAGTGAACACCCCCAGTTCCCTTTTTCCCAATCCCGGAGCTGCTGGGCAGCGCTGAGCGCTCCCAACCCTTGGCATTTCCCATCAGATCTTGAAATCTTGCTTTTTTCCTTTATTGAGATGCAAACTTTTCCTATATTTTCATTTTTCCATCCCAAGCTGGCCACAGAGAAGCCGAGCCAGGGCTGCCCATCACCCAGCCAGGTGCTGCCAGCTACATCCCAGCTGTGCCCTATGGAGCATCCTGGTGTGGAGCGCTGCTGGCCGCGCTCCCCACTCCGGAACTTTCCACCCTTCGGTGCTTTTTACGGGGATTTCAGTCCCACCTCCGTGGTGCTACAGCCCTTCCCACCCCCAGGACACAGAGTCTCTGCCAGCTCGGTGCCAGCCCTGCTGGCTGGTGCTGCCTCTGCCCCACGGCTGCGTGCGGGCACGTACCCAGGGCAGCCCCCCAGGCCTCTCGGGGGGTCTGGCTGCTCCAGGAGGGCAGCAGCTTCCTTCAGCTTTGCCAAAGAGCCAAGGGGGGATCCTGGCATGGAGAAACTGGGAAAACTGGGGGGCTGTGTGCCGGCCGGAGCGGTGCTGGAGACCCTTTGGGGCCACGTCATGCTCTGGCCCCATCACTCCCACCCCGCTACCTTCCCAGCAGTGGGAAGATGGGGATTTAGGCAAGGTGCTTCCCAACTTTCCCCTCCCCAGGGAATTCACCTGTGGGTCCTTTTTTCAGGACTTGGATAAAAATCCCTTTCTACGACGGAGCTTTTAGCTGGTTTTTGTTTAATTTAATACAAGGTTTTTTAGAAGACTTTTGTAGCTCTTTGGTATTGTCGCAGATGGTTTGTAAATCTATTTATTTTTGAACCTGCCAGGGGAATTTTTTTCCATATTTCGGGTGGAAAAGGCTGGTTTTTATATCCTGACGGAGTTGTGGAAATAAAGACACAAAGTGAGGACAATGGTGTGTTTTGGGGAGGGTCCCTGAACCCCCTGCCCGACTTGAGGGAGGCTGGTCCTGAGTCCCTGCGTGGCAGCACTGGTGTCCCACAGGGACAGAGAGGGGGTAGAAGGAGACATCTCCACACTGGCACCTCCATGGATCCCTGGGACCCAGTGGATCCCCTGGGACCTGCTGGACACCGTGGGCAGCCCCTGGGTGGGACAGCCCCTGGGTGGGACACCCCTCCCAGGCTCACAGAAGTCCCTGCCTTCCAGGAGCCACGTCCCCTGGGGTGATCCATGGGCTCTGTGGCCAAGAGCTTGGTTGCTCTCTGAAGAGTCATTTTCGGGGGGACAAGTGACCCAGGAATGGCTCTGGGTGCCCAGACAGGACCCAGCAGAGCCAGAGTCCCCTGTGCAGGACAGGGATGAGGTCCTGCATCTCCCCAAGTCCCTGCTGCTCTTTCCAGCAGCAGATCACAGTTCGTAGCCCACGTCCTTCCCCTCAGACCTTCTTGGGCACGTGTGTGATGATGGGCTTGGGGCGGGTTTTGAAGAGCAGCTTGGTTTTGATGAGGGCAGTCACGGCGTAGTGGCTGGGCTGGGAGGCTCCTCCCTGCTTCACCAGCACAGCAAACGGCTTCTCCAGCTGCACCACCTTCCCGTAGAGGATGTGGTGGCCCACGATGAGCACGGGCACGCCCTGGGGAGAGCGGGGGTCAGGCCGGGCTGGGCTGTCCCCAGCAGTCCCGGCGCTGCGGCTCTCACCTCACAGGTGTAGTGCAGGTCTCCCAGCAGGCTCCCGGCCAGCTCCCCGCCCTGCCGGGGCTCCACCTCGCCCTGCAGCTCCAGCAGCACCCACTGTGCCGGGCCGCCCGTGCCACCGCTGGGGGAGACATGGGCAGTGTCACCCGGGGCCAGCAGGCACAGGGGACACGGGGACGGGACCTCGGGGCTCACCTGGAGATGACGATCTGCACCATGCCGGGCCTGCCGGGGCTGCAGAGACACGGTCAGCACAGGGAGCAGGAGCCTGGCCCTTCCCCTCTGGGGACCCCGGGATGGAATTCTGCCCCCGTGCCCCACAGACCCCGCAGATCCTGAGATCCATCCCCCAGCCCCTACAGAATGTCCCCAGGCCCTGCAGCCCCCCGGTCCCCACAGACCCCCAGACCCAGGCCCTACTGCCCCCCCAGATCCAGCCCCCAGACCCCCAGCGCCCCCAGCCCGGAGCCCAGACCCGCCCAGGCCCCCGCCGCGCCGCCGCTTCCGCTTCCGGCTCCGCGCGGCCCCGGGGCAGCTCCGGTTCCGGCGCGCCGCGCGCACGTGGGGCGGAGCGGGAGCGGAGCGGAGCGGAGCGCAGGGCCGCTTCCGGCGCGCCGCGCGCACGTGGGGCGGAGCGGGAGCGGAGCGGGAGCGGAGCGGAGCGCAGGGCCGGCCGAGCGCCATGGGCGAGTTCCAGGTGCACCGCGTGCGGTTCTTCGGGCTGGTGCCCGCGGGCGTGCGCTGCCTCGCCTGCCAGCCCCGCGGCGCCCGCCTGGCGCTGGCCCGCACCGACGGCGCCGTCGAGGTGTACAACCTGGCCGCCAACTACTTCCAGGAGAAGGTGAGGGCGCCGGCACGGGCCGGCCCGGGATGTACCGGGATGTACCGAGCTCCTCCCGGGCACGCACCGAGCGCGTACGGGACTTGCTTGGTCCTGCCGATCGGCACCGAGCCGGTACTGGGCCTGAACCGAGCCGGGCCGGGCCGGCACCAGGCTTTGCTTGGCCCCGCGGGTCCGTAGCGAGCCGGTAGCGGGGCTGTGTGGGCTCGCCGGGGCTGTACCGGGCGCTGACGCCGTCCCCGCAGGTGATCCCCGGGCACGAGGCGCGGTCGGTGGAGTCGCTGTGCTGGGCGGCCGGGGACCGGCTCTTCGGGGCCGGGCTCGGCGGGGACATCACCGAGTACGACCTGTGCGCGCTGCGCGCGGCCCGCGGCGTGGACGGCGGCGGGGGACCCGTCTGGAGCATGGCGGCCAACGGCACCGGCACGCAGCTGGCGGTGAGTCCCGCCGGGAGCGGCGCCGGGGCCCGCGGGGGAGGGTCCCGCCGTGCCCCGCTGACCCCGGCCCCCGCAGATCGGCTGCGAGGACGGCTCTGTCAAGATCTTCCAAGTGGTTCCCGGGGGGATCCAGTTCGAGCGGAACCTGGACAGGCGGAAAGGTGGGTCCTGGCTGCAGCTCCGTCCCTCCGTTCCTCCGGGTGTCCCGCGAGCCCATGGCTCTGACGTGGATCTTCCCTCCTCCCAGGCCGTGTCCTGTGCCTGTCCTGGCACCCCTCGGACACTCACATCGTGGCTGGCTCCATCGACTTCTTCCGTGTCATCGACGTCACTTCAGGTACCTCCTGTCCTGGGAGCAGCCCCATCCCATCCCCCGGGACCACCAGCACCCTCTGGCCCCCAGGGGAACCCCAGCCACCCCAATTTTCTCCTGCTGCAGGCCAGACGGTGCAGAGGATCATGGTGAACCACCACGTGGAGAAGGCCAGGCGTGAGTGCGTGGTGTGGGCCATCGCCCTCCTGTCCAGCGGCGCCGTGGTCAGCGCCGACTCCTTTGGCAGGGTGCAGTTCTGGGACTGGGAGCAGGGCACGCTGGCAGAGTCCCACACCGTCAGCACCTCGGCCGTGCTCTCGCTGGCCGTGTCAGAGGTGGGTGACACCCCCAGGTGCCCCTGGCTGACAGGGAGCGGGGCTGCTGCACTCGATGCCTCCTGGCAGCGCCCTCCTGTTGTTGCCAGTCTGCTCCCACAGCCCTGTCCCGTTTCCCCCTGCAGAAGGAGGACAGCATAATCGTGGGCACCTCCACCGGGGCCACCTACCAGCTGCAGCTGCTGCCAGTGAGGCTGGGCGGGCTGGAGAAGCGCTGGGTGCGGACAAAGCCCTTCCAGTTCCACAGCCACGACGTGCGGGCCGTGGCACACAGCCCCACCGCCCTCATCTCCGGGGGTAGGGCTGCGCTGGCACCGGGACGGGCTGGGTCCCCCTGCCACGACCAGCTTGGCTGATCTGTGCTTGGCTTCCAGGCCTGGACGCCCAGCTGGTGATCCGCCCGCTGATGGAGAAGATGCAGAAGAAGAGCTACGACGCAGTGCTCCGAAAATTCACCTTCCCCCACGTGAGTGGTGCATGTGCGGGGGTCCCGGAGCTGGTGGGGCTGGCAGGGCTGGATCTCCCTGCCCTTCCAGGTGCCCTCGTTGCCCTGCCAGGGTTCCTCCCCTGTCCTTGGCTCCCTCCTCTGCCCTGTTGTGTCTGCTTTCCTGGTACATCTGAAGGCTCTGCCAAGGAGCAGTGCAAGTTGTCAAGCTGGTCTTGCTGGTCCTGCTGGGTCTCCATCTCCAGGCTCCCATCCCACGGGAGCTGATTTCCCTGCTCTCCCCCGCTGCGGAGTCACCAGCACCCCCGGGCATTCCGGCTGTGCCCCAGCCCGTTGTGCCAGGCTGTGGGTCTGTGACACCCTGCCTGTTTTTCCACGCAGCGACGCCTCGTCTCCTGCGCCAGGAAAGCCCGGCTGCTCCTCTTCCAGTTCTCCCAGTACCTGGAGCTCTGGAGACTTGGCTCCACTGAGGAGACCGGTGAGTCACAGGCGCAGCTCAGAGCCCAGGCTGCCAGCAGGATTTTGGGATTGAGCTGTCCCAGGGCTCAGGGAAGGGTCTGGGCACTCCCCCAGCTGCTCCGTGTGGTTTTCCCCCTCTCACTGGTGGCCCGTGTGGTTTCTTTCCCAGGAAAGGACGGCGAGGTCCTTCCCTTGTGCCGGATGCCCGAGCACCTCGTGCAGCTCAAGAGCAAGGTGGGGCTGAGCGGGCCGGGTGCCCCCGGGCAGCCGAGGGGTGTGTGCTGGGCTCTGGGGGTTCCTCGGGCCCCGCTGAGCCCCGTGGCATTCCCAGGGCCCGGAGCACATCTACTGCAGCTGCGTGTCACCCTGCGGCACCTGGCTGGGCTACTCCACGGCCTCGCGCTTCCAGCTGTACCGCGTGCGCTGCGACGGCGACGGTGTCAGCCTCACCAAGGTCAGGGGCTGCGGGGTCCCGGGGCTGGCCTGGGCGCTGGCACCCCTGGGCAGCATGGGTGGCCGCGGGGTGGCTGCCAGGGCTGCGTTCTCTCCACCCCCAGGTGCCCAAAGTGCCCGCGGTGCTGCCTCCAGCCTACCAGCTGCAGTTCTCCGCCGACTCCGGCTGCCTCTTCGTGGCCTCGGCGCGAGGATCTGTGCACGTCTTGCAGCTGCTGGAGCCGGGGGGCTGCAAACACCTGCACACGCTGCGGCCGCCCTCAGGTCTGGGCTGGGGGGAGCTGGGCTGGGGGGCTCTGCAGAGGGGGTGTCCCCCTTTCCTGCCCTGAGGGGTGTGAGGGTCTCCTGGGGGTGTTTGTGCTCTCATGGCCTTCACTGGACAGTCAGGGGGGACGTGGGGCTGGGTGTCTCTGGGCTCTGGGGCTGCCAGCTCCCCTCTGAGCCCGAGCTGTCTGCAGGCTGCTCCGAGGCCGTTTACCTGCTGGCACCGAGCGCCGACGGGCACTGGCTGGCAGCCGTCAGCGGCGACTGGGCCATCCACATCTACAACCTGAAATGCTTCAAGGTGGGCCTGCGAGCGACCCCCAGCCTCGGGGGGCACGGGATGGGGGGCTCAGCAGGCACAGCCCCCCTGGGAGCCATCACTGCAGCCCTGGAGCAGGGCTGGGGGTGTGGAGAGGGGGTCAGAGGCACTCCTGGGGGTTCTGGCCAGGGCTGGGGGTGTGGAGAGGGCGTCAGAGGCACTCCTGGGGGTTCTGCAGGGCTGGGTGTGTGGCAGAGCTGTCAGCAGTGCCCTGGCGGCTCCCATCAGTGCACTGCCCCCTCCTGCAGCATCACTGCGTGGTGCCCACCTACGACTGCGCCGTGTCAGCCCTCGCCATCCACCCCAGCACCAACAACCTCGTCATTGCCTACTCGGACCAGCAGGTAGGAGCTGTCCCGGCCGAGCTCGCGTGGTCCCTTCCCCGTGGCAGCGTGGCAGCGTGGGGCGCTGCCTGGAGCTGCTGCAGGAGGGCACACCTGAGCGTGGCCGTGCCCCGCAGCTGCGGGAGTTCAGCATCCCCGAGCGGCAGTACACGGGCTGGAGCCGCGCCGTGCAGAGCCGCGGGCTGCACCGCGCCTGGCTGGAGCGCGACTCGCCCATCACGCACATCGCCTTCAACCCCAAGAACCCCTGCCACATCCTGCTGCACGACACCTACCTGCTCTGCGTGCTCGACAAGTCCCTGGTGAGCGGGCGGGAGGGCTGGGGCTGCCCGGGGGGCTCCCGGGGGTGCCCGGGGGGCTCCCGGGGCAGCCTGACCACGCCGTGCCCGCTCCGCAGCCCCTGCCCGACGACAGCGCCCTCCTGATGAACCAGAGCACCCTCAAGCAGCTCCCAGAGACCGCCAGGAAGAGGCAGCTCCACGCCTTCAAGATCTGCAAGAAGTTCCAGGTGGGTGATGGTGCTGGGGAGCGGGGTCAGGGAGGTGCTCGGGCTCTGCAGAGGGACTTGGATCAGGGGAATGGCCAGGGAATGGCTTCCTGCTGCCAGAGGGCAGGGTTAGATGGGATAATATGATGGAATTGTTCCCTGTGAGGATGCTGAGGCCCTGGCACAGTGCCCAGAGCAGCTGTGGCTGCCCCTGGATCCCTGGCAGTGCCCAAGGCCAGGCTGGACAGGGCTGGGAGCAGCCTGGGACAGTGGAAGGTGTCCCTGCCATGGCAGGGGGTGGAACAAGATCACTTTAATGTCCCTTCCACCCCAAACCATTCCCTGATTCCATGATTCCCATCTCTGGCCTTGCAGCCTCTGCTCTTCATGGATCTGCTGGACAAGAACTGCCTGGTTGTGGTGGAGCGACCCATCATGGACTTCAAAACCCAGCTGCCTCTGCCTGTCCAACAGAAGAAATTCGGCACCTGAGAGCAGAAGAAGCCACTCCAACCTCGGGAACTGTCTCTGTGCTGCCTTCCTGGGGCACTGTAAGAATTTTCTTAAGGTGCTGTAGGAATAAAACCTCACTGTTGTGTACATGCCTGGGCTCAGGGCTCATCCCTGTTGTCACACCACCATCATGTCATCATGATTTTCATATCCTTCCAGTTCTCCTCCCCGGGGCGCGGGGACAAGCTGACACCCCAAATTCCATCCCTTTTTGCTCACAGTGTCTAATCCCCGTGTTGGCTTGTGTCTCCTGTGGTCTGTGGGTGCTGCCTGGGGCCAGGCAGGCTCATTCCCTGAGGACGGGGGTCTGGGGGTGTTGCATGGGGCAGGGAAGCGTCATTCCCTTGGATGGAGGGAGAGAGCTCGGGGATCCCCGGAGAACCGGGGAGATTTAAAGCCTAGCTCGTGAAATAAATCGCAGCGCGCCAAATAAATCTCAGCGCCAGACATGGCGAGCGGGGGCGTGGCTCCCTACGCCCCGCCCTCCAGCGCTACCAATCGCAGCGGCGGCGCCTTGGCCGCCACCTCTCTGATTGGTGGCGGCGGAGGCGGGGGCGGGGCGGCCCCACCCCGTCCTCCCGCGCCCCCGAGCCTACCGCGGCGCGCCATGCGGGCGGGGGCGGGGCCGAAGGCCACGCCCTCCCGGGCAGGCCCCGCCCCTTACCCGGTGACCGGCGGCGGCGGCGGCGGCGGCATGGCCGTGTGGACCCGGGCTTGCAAAACGGGGCTGCTGGAGCTGCTCCTGCGGGAGCGCTGGGTCCGCGTCTCGGCGGAGCTGACCGGGGAGACGCTGAGCTTAACGGCGGAACCGGGAACCGGCGATCCGTCGGTGGTGAACGGCGTGGTGAACGGCAGCGCGGAGGCGGCGGCACCCGGCGGCGTGAGGAGGGTGCGGGTGGTGAAAGCGGAGGCGGGAGGGCTCGGGATCAGCATTAAGGGAGGTCGGGAGAATCGGATGCCGGTGCTGATCTCACGGATCTTCCCGGGACTGGCGGCGGAAAGGAGCGGAGCGCTCCGCTTAGGCGACGCCATCCTCGCTGTTAACGGCGTCGATCTCCGCGATGCCACCCACGATCAAGCTGTGCAGGCGCTGAAGAGAGCCGGGAGGGAGGTCATCCTCGAAGGTAACGCCTCAAGCCCTTCCTCTCGCCCCGGATCCCCGCTGCGGGCCCCTGTGCTGTCCCGTCCCCCGCCCTGGCGCTCCCCCGCCGTTACCGGCTCCCCCCACGCCTCCCTGCCGCTGTCACCGGGCTCCCGGGCCCCCCTTGGGTCCCTTTTCCGGGTGTGGGACGCCACTCCCCCACCCCACTCCTGGCGCGTTTGTGTGTCCCTCCAGTCCCCAAAGCCGGGGGGCCCAGGCACGGGGACAGGGACTGGGGTGTCCCCCGGGTCGGGCTGTTCCCTCTGGGGCACGCTGGGGACCCCTCCCAGCTGGGGACAAGGACAGGCTCTCCGCTGGCTGTGTTCCTCCAGGATGAACTTGGGGTCCCGGGGACAGACTCGGGGTCCCCCAGGATGGACTTGCTGTCCCCTGGCTGCGGCGTCCCCCTGAGCAGGTTGTCCCCTGTCCTTGGTGACAGTGCCCAGGCTGTCCCCGGGGAGGGCTGGTGCAGGGTCTGCCCGTCCCCGCGGGCTCAGCCTCCCCGCGGGCTCGGTGTCCCCGCGGCACAGCTGGCCCGGGACTGGCCTGACGGAGCCACCGGCTCCTGCCCGACCTGTTCCCGGCAGCCCGACAAGCTCGGGCAGGACCTGCCCAGCCCGGCAGCACGGGGCTGGTGCCGCGGGCACCGCGAGCCACGAGCCCTGTGCCGCGGGTCAGGGTGGGCTGTGGTGCCACACACACTGTCCTGGCGTCCCGGCACGTCCGTCTGTCCTGCCTGCGTGAGGCTGCTCCGTGGGCACGGTGCCCGCTGGGCACAGGGTACAGGACGGTGCTGCTGCTGTGCCACGCGCCCCTGGCACGCTCAGTGGCATGAGGGGGCACGGCTGGGCTCCCTGGTGAGAGCACAGCTGCTCGAGGTGCTTGGGCACGGCTGGGTGCCGCGGGGGCCGAGGTGGCAGTGGGGTCAGGCTCGGTGCTGTGGCTGCTGTTGGACACAGAGAGAGGCCCCGGGACCCGCGCCCGGCTCAGCGCGTCCTTCCTGCTGCTGCTGCTGCCCGTCTGATCCTGTCCCACAGCAGCTCAGCCCCGTGCTGTGTTTGTCCCTCGCTTCCGCCACGGGCACGGCGGCAGACGCCTTTCCTTTCCTTTCCTTTCCTTTCCTTTCCTTTCCTTTCCTTTCCTTTCCTTTCCTTTCCTTTCCTTTCCTTTCCTTTCCTTTCCTTTCCTTTCCTTTCCTTTCCTTTCCTTTCCTTTCCTTTCCTTTCCTTTCCTTTCCTTTCCTTTCCTTTCCTTTCCTTTCCTTTCCTTTCCTTTCCTTTCCTTTCCTTTCCTTTCCTTTCCTTTCCTTTCCTTTCCTTTCCTTTCCTTTCCTTTCCTTTCCTTTCCTTTCCTTTCCTTTCCTTTCCTTTCCTTTCCTTTCCTTTCCTTTCCTTTCCTTTCCTTTCCTTTCCTTTCCTTTCCTTTCCTTTCCTTTCCTTTCCTTTCCTTTCCTTTCCTTTCCTTTCCTTTCCTTTCCTTTCCTTTCCTTTCCTTTCCTTTCCTTTCCTTTCCTTTCCTTTCCTTTCCTTTCCTTTCCTTTCCTTTCCTTTCCCTTCCTTTCCTCTCCCCTCCTTTCCTTTCCCTTCCTTTTGCTTCCTTTGTCATTCTTTCCCTTTCCCTCCCTTTCCCTTTTTTATCTTCATTTCCCTTCCTTTCTCTTAGTTTCCCTTCCTTTCTCTTCATTTCCCTTTCCCTTTCTCTTTCCCTTCCTTTCCCCTCCATTCCCCCTGACTGTGCTGGCACGGCTGGTCCGGTGGCCGTGGTGGGACCATCCGGTGCTCAGCTGCTACCAGCGGGCCCTGGGGAGGAGCTGGTGGGGGACACTGGCCGTGCCACCCATGCCATCCAGCCCCGTCCCTCCTCACAGCCCTGGAGCTGTGACCACCCCGGCAGGTGCCAGAGCTTCTCCCAGGCTCTGTGCCAGTGGTGGAGGGGAAACCACCAGCCCTGCACTGGCATCTCGGTGTGGCTGGTCGCCCACCCTGGGGCTGGGTTTGGCCGCAGGGCCCACGCCAAGCGCCTCCCCGGGCACCCACGGGCCCCGGCTGCTGCCCTGGGGGAAGGGAGCCCTTCCGCCCCGCGGGGAGCTGCGGGCGCAGTGCGGCCGCGGGCACTGCCAGGGCACTGCCAGGGCACTGCCAGGGGAAAGGCGGTGGTGCTGCCTGCTGGGTGCAGGGGCTCGGCCCTGGTGTGGACTGGCAGGGCCGTGCAGCAGCCGCCTTCCTGCGGCGGGCAGGCGAGGGGCGCAGCGGCAGCTGGGCTTCCTCTGCGGCGAGCGCGTGGGTGGGGCGGCAGCGCCGTGCCGGGGTGCCGGTGCCTCTGCTGTGTGCTGGCCACCGCCTCGCCAGCAGCAGAAGGGGTGCTTGCAGCTGCCCCCACCCTGTGCTGGCACACGGTGCTCCGTGTCCTGCCTGCGCCGTGGATGCGTCCCGCTGGAAACTGGGAGCCAGTTCTGCTGCCCCCACCACGGGCAGACACAGTCCTGGGCATCCACCACGGGGCACCCACACTGCCCTGGCACAGCGCCCCGGCTCCAGTGCTGCTGCCTGCCCAGGTGGCCTCTGACCCTCCTGCCTCCATCGGGTCAGTGCCTGCACCGCAGGGTCGCAGCGCTCTGAGCTGCAGCCCCACGTGCTGAGCTCCCTGGCCGTGCTGGAGGCAGCTGCCCACATCTGGCAAACATCTGCCGAGCGGCCCCGCAGCGGGAGCTGCCGGCCGTGCTCTGCCCGCGGCGCTCCCGGCCCGGCCGGCCGCGGGATTAGGGGTGCGGGGACGGCGGTAATCCCGGGATCAGCGCGGCGGCAGCTAATATTAACTCGTGTGCTGCCCACAGCAAGGGCAAGCACCTCGTGGCTCAGCAGAGCCGGTGGGAAGGCGGGGGGCTGGTGTCTGCTGCCCGCTCCCCATCCTCGCTCCCCGTTCCCTCCCGGCAGCCCCGCGGTGAAGGATTGGCAGCGGCACAGCCTGGGCCCCACCACCAGTGTTGCTCCCGCTGCAGAGGGCCTGGCTGTGGCTCCAGGATCCTTTCACCACTGCCTTCCCAGTGCGGTGCAGCCCATTTGCTGTTTCGGCTGGGTTTTCCCTCTCGCTGCCCCATCTGTGTCCCCAGCGCGTCCCTCCCTTGGCCGTGGCTGAGAGCCGTGTCCGGGCGGGGGTCCAGGGCTGCTGTCAGCGGGGTGGTGCTGGGGTGGGACAGTCCGGGGGGAGCAGGAGCTGGAGCTGGTGCCTCCTTCCTTCCTTCCCGGCCTGGAGAGGCGTGTGGAGCCGGCATGTTTTGGCTGCACACCCTCCTCCTCCTCCTCCTCACCCTGCTGCCGTCGGGGCGTGAGCGGCAGTGCTGGAAACTTGGCGGGCACGGTCCTGGCTGCTCCGAGAGCGGCAGGCAGGATGGGACCAGGATGGGCTGCAGCCTGACCTCCCGCCCAGCACCATTGTCCTGTGGCGCCTTCCCTTTCCTACCCCCGCGCCGGCAGCGGGATGAGCTGCCAGCCCCGTCCTTCATTTGGGACATCCCTGACCCGGACAGGGTGGGACCCCCAGGACCCTCCGAGCCTTGGTGTGTGAGGTCACGTCACCCTATCAGATAAACCCTGGGGCCCAGGGCTGTGGTGGGGGGTGCAGGACCCTCCCCAGCCCTGACTGTCCCCACTCCCCACAGTGAAGTTCATGCGGGAGGTGACCCCCTACATCAAGAAGCCGTCGCTGGTGTCAGACCTGCCGTGGGAGGGGGCGGCCCCGCAGTCCCCCAGCCTGAGCGGCAGCGAGGACTCGGGGTCCCCCCAGCACCAGGGCCCCCGTGACCGCAAGGTGATCCCCCTCAAGATGTGCTTCGCTGCCCGGAACCTCAGCATGCCCGACCTGGAGAACAGGTGGGTGCCAGTGGGGAGATCCTGCTCCCCAAGAACCCCAGGACAGGACTGGGTCTGCCCAGTGGGAGGGACCCTGCACCCCATGGACACGCTGGGGGCTGCCCCTCGCTGAGGCCATGACCCCCTGCTTTGCCCATGGAGCTGCGGAAGGACACTGCAGAGGGTTTGGCCGGGGCCAGGGCTGTGCCATGTTCCCTCCCAGACCCCTGGCAGCCCCTCTGCCTTAGAACGAGGGCTGAAGGCCCTGGTGGGTGGAAATGCGCAGCGGAAGCCCCTGACCAGTGCAGCCAGTTTGCTGTGCTGGGCCCAGGCGGGGCTGACTCAGCGCTGCTGTCCCCCGGGCCCTGTCCCCGTGTGTCCCCCGCAGGCTGATCGAGCTGCACTCGCCGGACAGCCGGAACACGCTGGTGCTGCGGTGCCGGGACACGGCCACGGCCCACGCCTGGTTCAGCGCCCTGCACGCCAACATCACCGCGCTGCTGCCCCAGGTGCTGGCCGAGCTCAATGCCACGCTGGGCTCGGGCAGCCCCGCGGCCGGCGGCCGGGAGGTGAAGCACATCGCCTGGCTGGCCGAGCAGGTACGCACTGCTGGGGTGTGCCGGGGCGCTCCCAGGGACAGCAGTGCCAAGGGAATGTGCCAGGGATGGCACCGGGATGCAGCCAGAGAGCCCAGCCTGGGCTCTGGCTCTGCTGCTCTCCCATCCAGCTGTGCCCCAGTGATGGCAGCATTTCCCGTGCCCTCTGTCCCTTCTCCCACTGGGGTTTTCCATATGGAACCCTTCATCACACCCTCCCTACTCCATGAATTCCCCGCCTGAGAGCTGCAGCCAGCCCTGGCAGTGTGGTGGGCAGGACCCCTGGGGGCTGCTCCCAGCTTGGCTTCCCAGGATGGCAGTGCTGTGGGTGCTGCCTGGCAGTGATGAGCCACTGGCTTGGGGTCCGTCTGGCCGTGGGCTCAGGGGTTGGGTGCCCGGGCTGTGCCCTCACGGTGCCCTGGTGCCCTGCAGGCACGCCTGGACGGCGGGCGGCAGCAGTGGCGGCCGGTGCTGATGGCAGTGACAGAGAAGGACCTGCTGCTGTACGACGGGATGCCCTGGACCCGGGACGCCTGGGCCTCGCCCTGCCACAGCTACCCGCTGGTGGCCACCAGGTGAGCCGGGGCTGGGCCCCCTCGGGCCGTGGCTGTGCCTCAGGGAGGGATGAAGCACCAGGACGCCGATGGGGTGACGTGGTGGCACTGCCATCGCACCCTGACCCCGCCATCCGCTCCCCTCCAGGCTGGTGCACTCGGGCTCGGGGCGCCGCTCGCCCGCGCTGGGCTCGGAGCTGACGTTCGCCACGCGCACGGGCTCTCGCCAGGGCGTGGAGATGCACGTGTTCCGCGTGGAGACCCACCGCGACCTGTCGGCGTGGACGCGCGTCCTGGTGCAGGGCTGCCACGCCGCCGCCGAGCTGGTCCAGGAGGTGACCGTGGGTGAGTGCCGCGGGGCCGGGCTGCCGTGCCCGCCGGGGCCGCGGGCTGACGCCGCTGTGCCCGCAGGCTGCACGCTGGCCGGGCAGGAGGTGCAGCTCTCCATCCACTACGAGGGCGGGTTCACCATCTCGCGGGACGAGCCGGGCTCCAGCGTGCTCTTCCGCTACCCCTACGAGCGGCTGAAGATGTCCGCGGACGACGGCATCAGGACCCTCTACCTGGATTTCGGGGGCCCTGAGGGGGAGCTGGTGAGGAGGGGCCAGACAGGCTCACCCCCTGCTTCCTCCTGCTTTGCCCCGTCCCTGCAGCTGCCCGGGCTGGCTGGGTTTGGCCGGTCGGAGCCCCCAGCCCGCCATGCCCAGCGGGATGTGGCTGACCGCGCTCTCCGTCTCCCCCCAGGCGCTGGACCTGCACTCCTGCCCCAAGCCCATCGTCTTCGTGCTGCACACCTTCCTCTCGGCCAAAGTCACCCGCATGGGGCTGCTGGCATAGGTGCCCCAGCCCCCCCGCCCTGTCACCAGCCAGCCGGGGGTCACAGCGGGCCCCCCGACCTCTCCTGCCCCGTCGGTGCCTTGCTGGGGCCGGGCTCGCCGCCCTGATCCTGCCGGGAACGCGGCAGGGCGGCTGCGGGGGGAGCCCCCGTGCCCCACAGCAGCGCTGCCAGCCCCCGTGCCCGGGGGTCGGGGCGCACACACCAGCTGTGACCCCCGGGGCTGAAGCCATCGCTGATCTCACCGCCTGTGCCTTGGGGCGGGGCCAGCTCGGCCCCCCCGCCCGGGGGACCCCCGGTGCCCCCAGCCCACCTCCAGGGGTGTCCCCCTGCCTGGGGGCTCCCCCAGAGAGGGCACGCTGTCCCCACACGGGACAGGGCTGCGGGACCCCCCTGTGCTGCATGACAGGGTCTCCACGCCCTGCTCAGGGTGGGGGGACACATCTGTCTTAGCGGGGGCACCCAGGGGTGCACAGGGGGTGCTCTGGCCCAGGGTCCTGCTCCTGGGGCTCGGCCTCCTCCCTGCCCCCGGCAGTGCCCCCCAGCTCTCCCAAAGGCTGAACCAACGCCGTGTCCCTGCCCTGGCCGGGCTGCAGGGACCCCCCCGGGCTGTCCCTCCCCAGCCGCAGCCCCCTGCCCCTCCCGGGGGTCCCGGGGCAGGACACGTAGATTGATGCACTTTTCGCTTTTTGTACTTTCCCTCCCCTTGGGGCAGCTCCACACCCGGGGGCTGGGGGGCCACAGTGGGGTGGGCCTCCAGGGCTCCCCGTCCTGCCGGGACCCCAGACCCCCCAGCCAGACCCTGCACGGCTCTCTGCTCCTGGGGGGCTCTGGGGTCCTGTGGGTGCTGGCTCGGGGTGCTGCCCCCCCCTCCTTCTATTTTTGTATTCTTTGTAAATCGCTATTTATATCAGATTGCCTTTTCCAGGGGCTCCGGGTCTCATTTTGAGTCTGGTGAGGGGATGGGGGGTGGAATGAGGGTCCCAGGAAGGGGTGGGGGGATCCCCGGGGAGCTGGGGCGGGGTCTCTGTGGGCATTCCTGGGGGGGCTGGGGCAGCTTTTCCAGCAGGGGCAGCGGGGCCAGCGCAGCTGTGGGCAGGTGGGTGCAGCAGCGGGCACAGGTGTTTGGGGGTGTGTGTGCACGGGGAAATAACACGTGTGCAAACACCGGGCACACGGGGTGTGCACCCGGGCACGCACACACAGACACACGCGGACATGTAAATACACACACAGGCACACGTGAACATGTAAATACAGAGACACAAACACATGGGCAAACGCACACACAGACACATGTGAACATATAAATACACCCACAGGCACACGTGAACAGGCACAAACAGACACAAAAACATACCCGCAGACACACATGAACATGTAAACACACACAGACACACAAACACGTGGACAAGTGCACACACAGGCACATGTGAAGACTCATGACCATGAGTCATGAACAAGACTCATGAACACGTGAACATGTAAGTACTCAGACACACACTGTACACACAAACACACGTGAAGACTCATGAACACAAGCCCACGCAAAGCCATGTAAACACTCAAGAACACACACAGTCACACATAAAGACATGTAAACATATGTAAACACACACACACACATTTCTGTTCACGTGTTTTTGGGGAATTCGCGCGCACTCCGCTCCCCGGGGCGGAGCTATGCAAAACCACGCCCACAGAAATTATACAGTCTCGTTGTGGGCGTGCCCACGAGAGGCCACGCCCTCACACGCACATAAATAGAAGAGGGCGGAGCTTTAATAAGCCATGCCTATCGATGGGCGGGGCTCCCCGCGCTCCTCGGCGCGGCCGGCAGGGGGCGCGGGGCCGCGCGCAGGCGCAGTCGCTGCCGCCGCCGCCGCCGCCGTTCCGGGGCCGCGAGCCCCGGCGCTGGTGGGAGCGGGGTGGGCGCGGCGGAAGGGCCGCGGTGCGGGCCGGCCCCGGCGGCGGGGAGGCGCTCCGGCGGGCCCGGTGCTGACGGCGCTGCCCCCGCAGAAAGCCATCGACCTGGTCACCAAAGCCACCGAGGAGGACAGGGCCAAGAACTACGAGGAGGCGCTGCGGCTGTACCAGCACGCCGTGGAGTACTTCCTGCACGCCATCAAATGTGAGGGCGGCCGGGGGGCGCGGGGGGCCGGCGTGCGGGGCTGCGGGTGACGCTGCGCTCCCTGCAGATGAGGCTCACAGCGACAAGGCCAAGGAGAGCATCCGAGCCAAGTGCGTGCAGTACCTGGACCGCGCCGAGAAGCTGAAGGAGTACCTGCGGGGCAAGGACAGGCACGGCAAGAGGCCCGTCAGGGAGGCACAGAATGACAACAAGGGGTGCGTGGGGGACGGGGGGCGAGGCGTGCCCTGTCTGGCCGCGGAGCTGGCGGCACCCCCCTTGCCACAGCAGTGCCAGTCCCGCTCCTGAACCCTGTCCCTGTCCCCAGGAGTGACAGTGACAGCGAGGGAGAGAACCCTGAGAAGAAGAAGTTGCAGGAGCAGCTGATGGGTGAGAGAGGCTGTGATGGACCCTCTGGGGTTAGGAGGGATTCACTGACAGCCCTGTCAAGGGGTGGCTGTGGGGTGGGTTCCTGTGGACTGCTCACCCCAAACAGCTGCTGTGCTCAGGGGAGGCAGGACTGGGGCTGGCTCTCTCTGTTCTCTGTGCCCATCTCTGTGGGGCCATGTCAGCAGTCACACCCTCACAGGTGCCATCATGATGGAGAAGCCCAATGTGCGGTGGAGCGACGTGGCCGGGCTGGAGGGAGCCAAGGAAGCCCTGAAGGAGGCCGTGATCCTGCCCATCAAGTTCCCACACCTGTTCACAGGTGAGGCAGTGGTGGTGGGAAGGGGCTGTGCAGGAGGTGCACAGCCTCCTGGGAGGCTCTGTGGGTGATCCCAGCAGGGATCTGGGCAGGGATGGGCAGGCCTGACGCGGTCTCTGCCGCAGGGAAGCGCACGCCCTGGCGCGGGATCCTGCTCTTTGGCCCGCCTGGCACTGGCAAGTCCTACCTGGCCAAGGCCGTGGCCACCGAGGCCAACAACTCCACTTTCTTCTCCGTGTCGTCCTCTGACCTGACGTCGAAGTGGCTGGGGGAGAGTGAGAAGTAAGTTGGCAGTGGGGACATGGCCACAGCCTGGCTCCTGGTGCTCCGGCCAGCCAGGCTGGGGCAGGGGCCACCAGCACCAGGAACCCCAATAATGGGGCTGTTAAAGAATTGGGAGCTGGTGCCTTCAGAGAGGGAGTCTGAGCAAAGCAGTCCCTGGGCCTTTTCCCTCACAGCGTGTGCCCCCTCATCTTTTCAGACCTCTCAGTCCAACAGCGACTTGAAGCTGGGGTCTTCTAACTCTAATTTAACTGGATTCTGATTCCTTGTCTTAATTAACTGCTCTCATGCTTCATCTTGGGGCAGCTTTGGGGCCCTCCAGAGTTGCAGCTCTTACCTGAAAGTTTCCCATCTGTCCATGCTCAGAATTAATTTACAGCTCACTTACAGCGAGCTTTGAGGAGAGCCCACCCCTGCCAAGCTGTGAGCAAGTCATAATTGAAATTAACTCTACATTATTAATTTGTGATACTCTGTAATTAGACTTTAATCTCCAGCAGGGTCCCAGGGGGAGCACAGCCCCTTGAAGGGCTGCACAGCCCCTGGTGTGGCACTGGTGTGGCACTTGGTGCCAGTGTGGGATTCTCGGAATGGGAGGAACGTGGGGCTGCTGTGGTGCTGCTGAGGAGGGTCTCTGAGCCGGGACCCCATCCCCTGCTTTGTTCCCAGGCTGGTGAAGAACCTGTTTGAGCTGGCGAGGCAGCACAAGCCCTCCATCATCTTCATCGACGAGGTGGACTCGCTGTGCGGCTCCCGCAACGAGAACGAGAGCGAGGCGGCCCGGCGCATCAAGACCGAGTTCCTGGTGCAGATGCAGGGTGGGTGGGGGCCCGTGCCAGGGATGGGAGGCAGGCAGAACCCGGGCATTCACAGAACCCCTGGAGATTGTTCTGAGCCGTCTGCCTGCAGGTGTGGGAAACAGCAGCGACGGGATCCTGGTGCTGGGTGCCACCAACATCCCCTGGGTGCTGGACTCGGCCATCAGGAGAAGGTGAGCCCCACACGCAGCCCTCGTGGCAGCCCCAGCAGGGCTGGAACTGGGGCTCACCCCTCATCCCCAGGTTCGAGAAGAGGATCTACATCCCCTTGCCCGAGGAGGCGGCGCGGGCGCAGATGTTCCGGCTGCACCTGGGGAACACCCCGCACTCCCTGACGGACGCCAACATCCAGGAGCTGGCGCGCAAGACCGACGGCTACTCGGGGGCCGACATCAGCATCATCGTGCGGGACGCCCTGATGCAGCCCGTGCGCAAGGTGCAGTCCGCCACGCACTTCAAGAGGGTGAGTGGGGGCTGCCACGGCCCGGGGTGCTCCTGGGGAGGGGAGGGCACTGTGGCTGCTGTCCCCCCGGCCCGAGCTCCATGCCACACGCCACCGGCTCTGCGCAGGTCCGCGGCCCCTCCCGCACCACCCCCGGTGCTATCGTGGATGATCTCCTGACGCCGTGCTCGCCCGGTGACCCTGGGGCCAACGAGATGACCTGGATGGAGGTGCCCAGTGACAAGCTGATGGAGCCCGTTGTCTGCATGGTAAGTGTCCCCTCTGTGCCTTTGGCCTGGCCACTTCCCCGTTGGTTCTCCAGGCTGAGGGCCAGGCAGGGCTGTGGCTCCTGGGGGTGGACACTAACCCCCAGTCGATCCCCCTGCAGTCCTGAGCTCCCCCCAGAGGGGTGACAGGAAAGGGCCTTGGCTCTGCCAGGCAGCTCCCACCCGTGGTCAGTGCTGCTGCCATGGGGCAAAGGTGCCTCACTGCCACGGGGGTGCCCATCGCATGCCCTGGTCTGAGCCACGTGCCCGCCCATGTTGCAGTCAGACATGCTGCGCTCGCTGGCCACCACCCGCCCCACCGTCAATGCCGAGGATCTCCTCAAGGTGAAGAAGTTCACGGAGGACTTTGGACAGGAAGGTTGAGGGGGGCGTGGGGGCTGTGGGGCTGGGGCAGCTGCAGGCCCTGCTGCGCCCCCCTCCCCGGCCGTGCCAAACCGACTCTGTTCGCTCCCTCCTGCCCCACTGCACCGCGGGGACACGGCCCGGGGGGGTCACACTACGGGGGGTGGGTCTGAGCATGGCCTGGGCGGCCGGGTCTCTCCCTGGCTGCACTCCACTCTTCTTCCTGCTCTTTTTTTATTTTTTAACTTAATGCTGCTTTGGGTTCTGTCTTGTTTATATGAAAATAAAAACAATCTGAGTGCTTCAGCTGGTGCCCAGCCACGCCCCAAGGCTCTGCCCGCACCAGGGGGCTCAGCCCAGCCCCACCTCCTGTCCCCCAAAATGCAATGACCCAGAGCCAAGGCCTCTGCCTGTCCAAGGCGGTGGGGGTTCCTCACACTCCAGCCATCCCAGACAGGGATTTGTGCCTGCAGGGGGCTGCTTGGCTGGAGCAGCCACCAGCTGGTGGCACCCACCTCCCCACCCCCCATGCCCCCCTGTGCAGTCCCTGGGTTCCCCTCAGCCTCGCTGCCCCCCACCCCATCCCAGTGCCCCCTGTGCTGTGCCCACGAGCCCCAAACAAGCCCCAGAGGGAAGGATCCCCCTTTGCCCCTCCCCTGCACAGCAGGTTGTTCCTAGACCCACAAGGAATTCCCAGTGCCCAGGGCAGCGTGGGCAGGAGCCCGCTGCCTCCCTGTGCACAGCCGTGGGCAGGAAGGGCCGGAGCCAGGCTGAGGCCACAGGTCTGTATTGCTGCAATAAAGCTGAGGGGAAGCCCCAGAGAAGAAAGAACGCTGGTTTCTTCCCCGGGCTCAGTCCAGCAGCTCCATCCAGCCCACGTTGGTGAAGGTGCGGGGGTCCATGCGGTCGATGTAGAGGATCCCATCCAGGTGGTCCATCTCGTGCTGGATGATCCGCGCGGCCCAGCCCGACGCCTCCCAGCTCACCGGCACCCCCAGCTCGTCCACACCTGCGCCCGGGGCAGCGGTGGGTTGGGATTAGGGGAAAAAAGGGGAACCCGAATGAGAGTGGGAGGAGCTGTGAGAGAATAGGGTGACTGTGAGCTTGGGAGACCTGCGTGTGGTGAGATCTGTGAGTGGTGGGATCCGTGAGAGAACAGGGACGCCATCAGAGAATTAGGAGAGTGGGGGAACCGGGAGAGAGTGCGGAACCCGTGTAAGAGAAGGGGCCCGTGTGAGGGAGGGGCGGGTGCAGGGTCCCACCCGGTCCGTACCGGAGACATGGACGGCCCAGTGCCGCGGGACGTAGGCGGAGAAGCCGTGGATGCTGGCGCAGCCCTCGGGGCCGGTGACGAGGCGGGTGTCGAGGACGCGGAGGGCGGGGTTGACGAGGACGCGGAGCGGGAAGGGCTCGATGCGGTGCGCCTGGCGCAGCGCCGCCGGGTACCGGGCGCAGCGGGCGGGCGGCAGCTCGGCGGCGAACACCCTCAGCGGCACGCCGAGCTGCGGAGCGCTCAGCCCCAGGCACGGCCGCTCCCGCAGCCCGGCCGCCAGCGCCGCCGCCAGCCGCCGCAGCTCGGGGCCGCCCAGCTCCCGCCGGTGCCGCGGGCGGGCCCCGCCGCAGCCCGCCTAGCCCGTGGCCACCGGGGCTCCCGGCGGCGCGGCCTCCCCGCAGGGGCTCTCCGGGGGCTCGGTGGGCACGGCTGCGTCTTCCCCGTCCGGGTCCGGGGCGGTCTCCGGGGACGGCTGCTCCTCGCCCGGTGTTGGCGGGAGGAGGAAAGCCAGCGGCTCCCTGAGAGCGGCCACGTCGATGCGGCCCAGGCGGCCGAAACGCTGCAGCTGCGTGGGGGGCACACCTTGGGGATGGGGAGAGAGGGGTCAGGGCAACGAGACCCCACGGAGGGGCAAGCGCAGGACAGGGCACACTCAGTACCACCCACGGGTGGGTGTCCCCTCCCTGCAACGACAACCAAAGCCTGAGCTCTCACCCAGTGCCTGCGCAATCTGTGCTGGAGGGAACAGCACCTGGAGGCAGCGGTTCAGGTAGGGCAGCAGGTCCTCCAGGAAGGCTGTGCAAAACTGGGTGAAGAGCTCCTGCTCCCGCCCGCTGAAAGCCGCCTCCTCAGCACGGTGGAAGGCCAGGATGGTTTTGGTCACCTGGGGGGAGAGAGAGGCAGAGAGGTCACCTGATGACAGCCACGTGCCAGGGGGGTAAGGAGGCCAAGGGCACCTGGCTTGCACCAGCAGCAGTGTGGCCACAGGCCCAGGGCAGCGCCCATCTTCCTGTGCTGGGCATTGATGATGCCACACCTGGAATCCTGGGGTCAGTTCTGGACACTCCCAGATACACACTGGGGCTGGAGTGTGTCCAGGGAAGGGAACTGGAGAAGGAGCTGAAGCACAAGGAGCAGCTGGGGGGGCTTACCATGGAGAAAAGGAGGCTTGAGAGGGACCTTCTCACCCTCCACTGCTCCCTGACAGGAGGGGCAGCCGGGGTGGGGCTGGGATCTGCTCCCAAAGAACAAGGGATAGGACAAGAAGAAACAGCCTCAAGTTGTACCACACGAAGTTTAAGATGGATATAAGGAAAATTTCTCCAGGGAAAGAGGTGTGCAGCCCTGGCAGAGGGCAGTGGTGGAGTCCCCATCCCCAGGGAGATTTACCAGCTGTGTGGATGTGGCACTTGAGGACACGGGTTAGGGGGGACTTTGGCAGTGCAGGGGGAGTGGTTGGACTGGATGATCTCAGGAGCTTTCCCAACCCACTCAGAACAAACCCAGCTCGTGCTCTCCCAGGACAAGTGCCAGCTCCATGCCCCGGACTCACCTCACCAAGGGCCCTGTCCAGGCAGGTGGTGACGTCCTGAGCCAGGGCGATGGGGCAGCAGAGCCGCAGGTCATTGAAGGCAACGAGCAGCCCGTTGAGGAAGCAGGCGAGGGGTGGGAAGTCCAGCAGCACCATGGGGGGCTGCAGCGTCCCAGGCTGGGCCGTGGGCACCGGCACCCCTGCGCCGCCCCCCAGCACGGCCGGAGCCGAGATCAGCGTGTAGCAATTCATCTCCTCCCGGAACTTCTCCACCGTCTCCTCCACCGCCTTCCCGAAGGCGTCGGCAGCCACGCGCTGGAAGAGGGGGGCCAGCTGCCCGCGGAAATCCACGCCCACCCTGCTGAAGGACAGCCCGAAGTACATGCACTGCCCCAGCAGCGAGTCCAGCCGGCCGCCCACGCCGCGCTCCAGGTCGCGCCGCAGCGTGCGCAGGAACTCGGAGACCTTCTGCAGCACCCAGCTGTGGAAGATGGCCCCCTCGCCCGGCGCCTCGCCCGGCGCCAGCGGCTCCTCGTCGGAGAAGATGGCGCGGTACTGCGTGACGACGTCGAAGAGGTGCACGCGGCAGGCCTCGACGGTCTTGGTGAGGTGCACGTAGGGGTCGTGGTCGGGGATGGAGGCCAGCGTGGCGCGCAGCCAGGCGTCCCGCGCCTGCAGGAACTTGACGCGCAGCTCGGCCTCGGTGAGCACGTCCATGCGGCGCAGGAAGCCGATGACGCGCAGGCAGGCGGGCAGCGGGATGTTGGTGCGCAGCTGCTGGATCAGCTGGTTCAGCATCAGCTGCGCCGACTGCCGCACCTCCTCCACGATGCCCTGGGGAGCAGGGGGCCCTCAGCCAGCTGCACGGGGCAGGGGCAGCCCGGGGGTCTGCTGGAGCACAGGGGGGACAGCACGGGGCTCACTACCTGGATGACGGGGATGCTGCTGTGCTTCCTCTCCAGCCGGCGCACGTAGGCCGTGAGCTCCAGCGCCTCCTCGTAGTAGCCGTTACGGACGCAGGTGTCCATGAGCTGCGGGATCTCCAGGATCTCCAGGATCTCCGTGTGCCGGTTCAGGGTCAGGCTGTTCATGCGCCGGCTGCAGGCGATGGCCTCGGCATCGCGCATGAAGGTGCTGCGGGCCGGCACGGCATCAGCAGAGCGCTCCCTCCCACCCACCGGCCGCTCCCAGCGCTGCCTCCCGCCCAGTCCCAGCCGGCCCGCCCCGCAGCGGGCTCCGCACCCCTCGTTCCCCATCCCCGGCCCTTCCTCCCCGTTTCCACCCGCGCCTCGCCCGCTGCCCGTCCCGCACCGGCAGGCGTCCTGCAGCGCGGGCAGCCGCTCCAGCAGGCTGCCCAGGCGGCTCTCGATGCCGCCGAAGCCGCGGCCGGCGCGGCCGGTGCACTCGGCGGAGCGGATGAAGGCGCGGTAGTGCTCGAAGGCCAGGCGGCGCGTCTCGGCGTGGCGGGCCGCGCAGCCAGGCCAGCAGCCGCGCCTCCTCCGCCGCCGCCGCCATCGCCGCGGCCGCCGCGTCACCTCCGGGCCGGCCGGTTCCGGGTCCGGGACTTCCGCTACCGCCAGTTCCGGTCCGCTCACTTCCGGCCCCGGCGGCCCGCGTGCGCGGCGCGGGAGATGCGGCCGCTCACGGAGGCGGAGACGCGGGCGGTGTTCGAGAAGCTCGGGAAATAGTAAGGGACCGGCACCGGGGGGAGCGGGCACGGGGACAGGACGGGGACCGGCCGGGATGGGCACCGGGAATCGGGCGGGACCGGGCACGGCGGCAGGAGGGGCGGGCCGCGCTCACGGCTGTGTCCCTGCAGCATCGGGGAGAACATCCAGCTGCTGGTGGACCGGCCCGATGGCACCTACTGCTTCCGGCTGCACCGGGACCGCGTGTACTACCTGAGGTGAGCGCCGCGCGGGCGGGGCCGGGCGGGCCTGGCGCCCCCGGCCGTGCCCAGCACTGCCCTGCTCCCGCAGTGAGAACCTGCTGAAGCTGGCGGCCAGCGTGCCCCGCGACAGCCTGGTGGCCCCGGGCACCTGCTTCGGCAAGTTCACCAAGTCCCAGAAGTTCCGGCTCAGCGTCACGGCCCTGGATTTCCTGGCGCCCTACGCCAAGGTGGGTGACGGCCCCGAGCGGCCCCTCAGAGCCCCGCGCCCCCTCACAGCCCTGAGCGGCCTCTCAGAGCCCTGCGGCGCCTCAGAGTCTGGCCCCTCACAGCTCCCCTGCCCCTCACAGCCCCGAGCGTCCCCTCACACACCCACAGCCCTGAGCGGCCCCTCAGAGCCCCACTGTTCTTCACAGCCCCCTGGCCCCTCAGAGCCCCCTAGCCCCTTAGAGCCCCTCAGAACCCTTCACAGCCCCTCAGAGCCTCTTACAGCCCCACCACCCCTCACAGCCCTGTGCATCCCCTCACACACCCACAGCCCTGAGCAGCCCCTCAGAGCCCCACTGCTCCTCACAGCCCCCTGCCCCCTGTCAGCCCTGTGGTCCCTCAGAGCCCCCTAGCCCTTTACAGCCCCTCAGAACCCTTCACAGCCCCACGCTTCTCACAGACCCCTGGCCCCTCACAGCCCTGCCCCTCACAGCCCTGTGCATCCCCTCACACACCCACAGCCCTGAGCAGCCCCTCAGAGCCCCACTGCTCCTCACAGCCCCCTGCCCCCTGTCAGCCCTGTGGTCCCTCAGAGCCCCCCAGCCCCTCAGAACCCCTCACAGCCCCACCGCTTCTCACAGCCCCCCAGCCCCTCACAGCCCCGCTCCTCTCCCGCAGTACAAGGTGTGGGTGAAGCCGGGCTCGGAGCAGTCCTTCCTCTACGGGAACCACGTGCTGAAGTCGGGGCTGGGCCGCATCACGGAGAACACGGCGCAGTACCAGGGTGTGGTGGTGTACTCCATGGCCGACGTGCCGCTGGTGAGCGCCTGGCCCCGCCAGCCCCACGGGGGGGATAGGGGTTGGGCGACCCTCCCTCACCTCCCCTTCGCCCCCAGGGCTTCGGCGTGGCTGCCAAGTCCACGCAGGAGTGCCGGAAGGTCGACCCCTTGGCCATCGTGGTGTTCCACCAGGCTGATGTCGGGGAGTACGTGCGGAACGAGGACACGCTGACATAAGGGAGCCTCGGGCACCCCGGGGACCCTCTGCTCTGTGAGTGCTCCGGGCTGGAATGGACTTGGTCCTGCACTGGGGGTGCGGGAGGCCCACCCAGAGTGGGAGGGAAATGTGGGGAGCTGCCAGCACAGAGCCCCCAAAGCCCTCAGGGGGCTGCTGCCAGCGCAGGAGGAGGGGCCCTGGCCCCAGCCCTGTCACATAAAGCCTGATCCTTTTTTTAGTGCCTGTTGTCTGGTGTGGGGGTTTGGGGGAATCAATCTTTGCTGTTCCTGTGGGGAATGTGACACACTGGGGTGTGTCTGGGGGCACTGATGAGGTTGGGGGAGCCTCAGAGCATGAGGATGAGCTTCAGGGGAGGGAGTGCTCAGCAGCTTTTAGTCTCACAGAGGCAGGATGGCTTTAGCAGGCACCAGTCGCTCCCCGGACTCTGCTGGGGGCTCCTTTATTGGGAGTCTGGTAGAAAAGGCCCATTAAGACACTAACAGTGGGCAGGGATGTGACAAACCCACACAGCACACAGGTGACAGTGTGGCCTCTGACTTTTCCTGGGGCGATGCCAGGGCTAAAGCTGAGGCAGGAGCAGGGAGAACTCTCCAACCTCCTCCTGGAAGCAGAATCCAGCCTTTGCTCCAGCTCTGTGGTGGGACAGAGTGGCAGCCAGGTGAGCTGGCTCTGCAGGGGGGTCCCTGCCCTGCTCTAGCACTTCTGGCTGCCCGAGGTTTGCGCGTGGAAGAGGCGCTTGAGGAAGCAGAGCTGCAGCACCCCGGAGAGGACAATGACACAGCTCTGGGCCATGGACCACCAGTTGATGTAGTTGTAGTTGGACTCCAGGAGGAAGAAATCAGCCCCTTTCCTCATCCGGGCAAAGTTGTAGAAGCGCCACATGTGGAAGGTGTGGATCTGCAGCCTCTGGATGCTCATCTGCAGGAGAGGCAGAGCCATGCTCAGGGCTGCACTCAGCTGCAGCTCAGCCCTGTTCAGTGTCCTGGGCAGGACGTGCCCATCCCTGCTCTCCTATGGCCCCCCCGACCCTCACCCCAATTGCATCCAGGGTGTCGTTCAGCTCCTTCCTCTCTGCTGGCTGCTTGTGCTCCATGCTGAAGTCATCGTAGTACACACCAAAGTTGAGATACACCTGCATTAAGCCAAAGTGGTTTTGCTGGTTGTCCAGGCAGAGCTGGTAGAAACCTGCAGAGGGAAGGGGTTGTTGGTTCCTGGTGGAAAGGCCCCAGGCAGGCACGTCCCGAGTGCCCTCATCCTGCCCCCGCAGGAGCAATCAGAGCTCTGGGAAGCCCTGGCTGGGCAGGCTCAGCTGCTGCAGGGGCTGGGGCTCACCTGTGTCCTTGGTGGGGAAGTTGATCTGTCCCCGCACGTCCTGGGACTCTCCAAGCTGGAAGCCATTGGGGTCTCTCGCTGTGACCAGGATGTTCCTGTTGTTGCCAATCCCCGTGGCCCGCTGGACCTGGAGGCAGGGAACACCCCAGGGCAATCTGTGGGTCACTGATGTGTGAATTTGTGGGTCACTGTCGTGCTGGGGATGGAGCTGTGCCAAGCACAGAGCCGGGGCAAAGCTGCCACTGCCAGGCACAGCTCTGCCCTGGCTCTCCTTCAGGCAGCCCAGTGTAAACAGGAGATGAAAGGGCTGGAGTTTCCCTGTGGGAAGGGCACAGCTCAGGGACACGCTGTGCCAGGGCCTTCGGCCGTGCCACAGCCTCTGGCCAGGCAGTGAAGGGCAGAGCTCCCAGCACCCCTTCATGGGCTTAAACCAGGTAGTTTAAAAAATGCATGGGATTGATGACAGATAGGGATTAGATTGGTTATTTTAGGAAGGTATTCTTCCCTGTGGGAGTGGGGAAGAATATCCCAGTGGAGAACTGGGCACAGGGTGCCCAGAGCAGCTGTGACTGCCCCATCCCTGCAATTGTCAACCCTCAGGCTGGGCAGGGCTTGGAGCAGTCTAGGAGAGTGGAAGGTGTCCCTGCCCAGGGCAGGGGATGGAAGGAAATGAGCTTTCAGATCCCTCCAAGCCAAAGAATTCCATGATATACCTTAAGAAAGGCACAGTCCCCGAGGTGCCATGTGCCACAGGACCAGCACAGGGGGTGTCCAGCCCAGCCTTTCCCTGGCTGTGTCAGCGACGTCCCAGGACACGTCCCCAGCACTCACCTCGTAGCTGAAGAAGAAGTTGCCTCCCTGGTGTGAGAACTGCCAGAAGCACTCCACGCTGCCCGCGGGGATGACGATGGCGAAGTCGTAGCGGTCGGCGCCGCGGAACAGCGGCTCCTGGCTGGAGCCGCTCAGGGGCTCTGTCCTGGGGCAGCCAGCGGGGCCCAGCAGAGCCAGCAGCAGCAGCAGCAGCATCCTCCTGCTCCCCGGGGCTGCAGCCCTCGCTCCCCACGCCGGGCAGGGCAGGGCAGGGCACAGGTGATCAATCATTAACCGCTCCGCTGTGCCCGCGGCTCAAGGTGATCTGAGCAGAGCTGCAGCTCGGACACCTGCACTGCCAGGGCAAGAGCCTGCCCTGGAGAAGGCAGGAGCAGCTCCTGCCAGCCTGGCACCACCAAGGGGCATTGCCTCCCACTGGCCAGCAGTGGCCCTCATCTCTGACCTGGTGCTCCTGCTGCCCAGGGCTCTCCAGGGAAGGGATTTACAGGAGGGGTGGAAAGTGCATGGCCACAGCCAGGGGACAAGGGACACGCAGTGCAGCACCTGCAGCTGAAGGACAGAGCGGGAAGCAGCTGTTCTAGACAAGACTTCTCCCAGCCCTGGCTTGCTGGACAGCAGCCAAGAGAAACTTGGAAACTAAATTTAATTGTATCACCCCTGACCTAATCCAGAGACTCCTGTTTCCCGGGTCACAGCTCCAGGGCAGTGCTGCTCCCGACCCAGCACCCCCCGAGGGGAAGGGAAAGCCCCACATTCCTGGGGCAGTCCATGCCCCTCTGCTGCATTTCCACCCACCAGGCAGAAATTCACACTTGCACAACTCTTGATATTAAACAGGAAAGGAGCTTTATTTTACAAATGACCGTTCCAGCTTTGGCACTTGGAAGGCAGGAACATGTGGCACCCTTGGAGCTCACACACAGCAAGGATACTACCAGGAAAAGTCCAAAGAAAACATGACCAAAATCAGACAGAACTAAAAATTTTAGCATAGAAACAACCAACAGTTCCAAGTACTGAAACACAAAGTAATTTTAGCTTTTTAAAGCCTCAGAGCTGGAAGGGAGGAATTTCTCCTCACACATTTTTCCCCCATTAATGAATAGGAGAAAAAGAAAAAAAAGACCCCAAGTAGATGCTCTTGCCTGGATCTCTTCCCCACAGAAGTGCTGGGACTCAGTGGTGCCTGTTCCACAAGGGAGTGATGGCAAACAGATGAAACAAGTGATTCACTGAACAGACAGCAAACACAAAAAAATAGTCACCTAGGAGATCATCCTCTGCTCACACCTGAGCAGAGCAAACTGCTGCAGTGGTCAGGTGGACAAGGAAGTCTCAGTCTAAATTCATGCTGAGAGGCTGCACAGCCACTGCCATGTGCAGCACTCTGATCTCAGCAGATACAGCTGGAGCACACGGCTCCTGGGTTCCTTTCAGTCATGGTTCTGGTGTCAGGGGGCCTTGCCACACTGGCACAGACTGCACTCCTGTCCAGCTTCCAAAAACCAAACCAAGGTCCAAAAACCAAAAAGAAGGTCCCGTGGCTCCCAGCTTCAGAGCATTCCCAGTTTCTTCATGGTCCGCCAGCGATCCTTGATCATCACCGAGGTGCGGTTCCTGAAGGGGAACTTCAGGCAGATGGTTTTCCACCTCCCTTCTCCGTACTTCTTCACCCCCTCCTTGATCCACTCGCTCTCCTCCATGGTCCATTTCTGCAAAGAGCAAGGAAGCAGCTGCATGGCAGAGAGCCTGCTGCCAGTTCCTTCCCTCACCACGCGTGCCAGGAACGGCAGGGCAGGCAGGCAGGTCCTGGCAGCTGCACACAGCACTCCAGCACTGCAGATGTGCTGCAGCAGCTGCCTCCCTACGGGCCAGGAGAGCTCCTGTGGCACCAACGTGGGACCTGTTCCTGAGTAACAGCTGCCAGGTGTGCGTCCCTCACCTGAACAACACCCTCTCCAGCACGAGGGGAATTTGGCAAACCTTGCTTTAAGCCATCAAAGGGACCTGAGGCACATCCCCAGTGTGCTGCAGGCAGGACAGGCACAGCTCCAGCCTCTTTTGTCATGGAGGCTGTAGGGACACAGCCCCACTGCAGGGCCTGCTGGAAGCACCTAATACTCCACATACCTGTTTCTTGGAGCTGGAGATGTTGGAGGCTTTGCTTTTCTCAAGTAATGCTGGAAAACAAGGTAGAGAGTTACATTTCCCATAATTTGGGAGGTACAGACCTCCCTGCCTAGGGCTTAACTGCTGAGCTGTGCAGCCAGAGCACCCTGTGACAGGCAATACACCCCAGTTCCTTTATCCCAGCCTTTCCACTGGATTTCTGGTTTCAAAATTCAGTCACCCAGGCAGCAGCAAGGCCCCTGTGAGTGACCCCCCATGCCAGGACTGGCACAGGTAATCCCTGCCAGGGGATTCTCATACTTGCATTTGCGAAGAGCTCATCCTCATCACTCCAACTGTCCTTCTCCTCTGTGCCACAGGAGCTGTTCCACCTCCCTTGGAAAGACCTGAAATTAGGTGAGAGTCACTTACTTTGGCTACTGGCTCAGGAGAAGGAGTTCTGGGGAGCAGGTGCAGGGCCACCCAGCAAGCAGAGCCAGCCTCTGGACACTGTATTTCTTAAGAGGTGGGAAGCAAGAGAAGGATGCTCCTACAGACGGGCCAGTGATGCTGAAGCTGGGAGAATTCTGGAAAAACACATGTTCCCTGTACTGGAATCACCTGCCAGGACCAGCTGCAGCACCTCACTAGCAGCAGGACCTGATCATTTTCTCCTCTTCATTAACCCCTAATTAATTTTAAAGCCACAAGGAGAGGGTTTGCTGGGCCCAGTTCCACACGGGCTGGCAGGCAAGGTCAACACTCATCCTGAGACACAGGGCAGGGGATTGGTGCTCAGGCTACCAACATCAGCAAGACAAGTCTGGGGACAGAGCAGACAATACCACACGAGAGGGGCTCCATACTTCTCACTCTGGGCAGACATGGGCTCATCAGGCTGCTTTGGAGCAGGTTTGGAAGCAGAAGAGACCACGTGCTCCTGGGAAGAGTCGGGGCACTCGCTCGACTTGCTGGACGAGCCATCCAACTCCACGATCAGATTGCTTATGCTGAACAAGTTTTTGATCTTATGGGGCATTTCAGTAGGCTCTGAGGTCTCAGAAGCTTGATTCTCCACTTCTCTGCATCTCTTGGTTCTGTGGGATACAGAAGGAGACAGTTGCTTGGGGGAAGGCAAGTCTGTTTGGTCCAGTTTGCTGAAAAGGGCGTCCGGGTCCCCGGAGTCTGACAGGATCTTGAAAGCTTCTCTCAGAACAGAAATCCCACACGAGGTTACAGCTCCAGGGGGCTGCCTATAAAATAAACACAACCAGGAGGGTTGTAGGGAAACCACCAAGGGAGCTCTGCTGCCCCGAAATGCAGCCTCGCCCTCCACTGGCATCCCCAGCTCCTGGCCCTGCAGTGCAAATCCACGGAAGGGGCATTCCCAGCCCTGCAGCACTCCCTCCCACATGGCACAGTGCCCCAGGGCTGGGGAACACACCTTCCTGCTCCACGGCCTGTGCCATTCCCAGCACCGCCCCCTCCCTGGTCACTGCAGCACCAAACCCTCAGCACCCTTCCCAGGATCCACCTTTGGGCTGGCCTGGGCAGGCATTTGGGGAATTAGGAGCTGCCTGGACACAGGGGATTACCCCTTGGAAGAGAACTTGAGGCCAACTGCATCCACAACCCAGAGCCAGACTCCTCTGCCCACCTTTGTGGTTCCCTGGTGGACACCCTGGGCAGTTCTGGGGCTGCTGCTGCTGGTTCTTTAGCCACTTCCATGGGCTCTGGAGTTCCCTTTGGGATATCATAGGCTGCTGTTAAATGTTCAGGTGTTGCTGCTGGGTCACTGAGTGCTTCCATAGGTTCCACAGCTGCTGCAGGGCCACTGGCTTCTTCCATCATCTCTGGAGCTGCTGTGGGACCAGCTGCCCTTTTTGCAGGGCTGGCAGCTCCCTCCAGGTCGTCTGCTGCTCCTGCAGGCTCTGGAGCTCTGGCTGGGCTCTCTGCCCTTCCCGAGGCCTCGGGAGGGGCTGAGGGCCCAGCCAGAGCTCCCGAGGCCTCGGGAGCTCTGGCTGGGCCCTCGGCCCTTCCCGAGGCCTCGGGAGCTCTGGCTGGGCCCTCAGCCCTTCCCGAGGCCTCGGGAGCTGCTGCCTGGCCGTCCAGCCCATCCGCAAACCCCGACGTCCCCAGCGAGGGTTTGTCTTTGTGCTCCGAATCCAAAGTCTTCTTCAGCAGCTTGAAGACAGAAAAAGCACAGCACCATTAAGAGGTGACTCCTCACGTTCCCATTCCATTCCATCCCCTCCCAAAGGCGTTCCAGGGATGGAAGCACCTGTGTGCCCCTCTGCACCCCTGAGGGCTCAGTCCTGGCAGCGGGGTGGGCACGCACCCTCAGCAGCGCCGGCTCCGAGTCGTCCACGAAGCCCTGCAGGAACTCGAAGATGCTCTGCTGGAAGTCCTCGTAGGAGAAGTTTTTGACCTTTGGGTGAGAGGGGTTCTTCTCCCGGATGACAGCCAGCCACTCATTCCTCCTCTTCTGGAGAGGAGATTGACAGGGTCAGCTAAGAACAGTGGGCAGGGACAGGGGAAGCACTGACAGCCACAGCAAGGACGGGACAAGGACTGGGTCCTTCCTGCTTGGCATTCTCCAGCACAACAATTAACCCCTGGTGAGCCTGGGAAGAGGCCAGAGGAACAGCGCAGCAGCCAAGCAGCAGCACAACCACCTCATTTCAGGAATGCTCCTTGCTGCAGTGCCCAGGCTCCCTGCAGGAGCAGGAATGGGAGCTCCTGCTGCTCCCAGAACCTGCTGGGAGGTGAGCTGGAGGCTCACCAGGGGATAGATGGTGATGCCTGTGTGAGGGAAAGTGTGTGAGGAAAGCTGAGGGACAGAGGGGCTCCAAGGTGACGATGCAGACATGCAGCACTCGGGCACCAGCACTCCAGAGGGATTGTTTCCATTTTGGCCTCCACCCCAAACCTCCTAGGACACATCAGACCCCTCTGGGCACACCAGCAGCTCCCACTTCATTCCAGCACGGACTCACTTGGTTTCTGGGCTCCTTCCCCATGTGCTTCTTGACAATATCAGAGGCCTTTTCAAACTCCTTGTTCCTGATGCAAACAACAATGGCCTGCAGAGGAAAGCACAGACTGAAGCAGGGCACAGGGAGCAGCTTCCCCTCAGAACTCCCCCAGCACTGCAGGCAGGAGCTTGCCAAGAGGGAACCCCACACGCCAGGCAGCTCCCAGCATCACCCACACGAGAGAAAAGCTGCACCACGCAGTCACTGAGACAGAAGAAGATCTTACAGCCTCCTTCACCATCTTCTGCACGGCCTCCATGGTCCTGTCAGCCACGGAGAACTCCTCACGGATGAAGTCCAGCACGAGCATGGCCGACTCCAGGGGGGTCAGCTCTGACTCCTTGTCGAAGGTGCAGTCTGCAAGAATGGCATCCCTGCACTTGGGGGTCCCAGCCCTTCCCTGCAGGGCTGGGCACCCACCTGCACGGGTGCCAGCCATGCCCCCCACGGGGCTGGGGCGCTGCCCTGCCTGCCCCCAGCAGCCTCGGGGAGCCCTGGGGCCGTGCCAGGTGCCCAGCCCGCAGCCAGGGCAGCGTTCTGGCAGCCCTGAGGAGCCAGCAGTCACCAGGCTTTGCCAGCCCCGGCTGCTGCTCTGGGCACACAGCCAGGAACAGCCCCGGGCCCTGCTCTGCGAGGGGACACCCGGCACGGGGCAGAGCGGGCTGCAGCAGCCCCGGGCCCCGCGGGGCACCTACCGAGGTTCTCGCCCTCCTCGACCCGCGACAGCAGCTGCATTATGCGGAGCATCTGCGCCATGTCCGGCTCCCTGTCCAGCGGCCGCACGAGCAGCGCTGTGGGACAAACGGCGGGTCAGGGGCGCGGCCCGGCCCGGCCCGGGCCCCCCGGCCCCGCCGCTCCCCGCCCGGCCCCCGCACCCTGCATGATGTCGCGGAACTGGCGGAAATCACGGTTGCGCCCGGAGCGGTACGCCTCTATGGCCCGGTGGAAGTAGAACTGCAGGACCCAGCCGTTCACGGTCTTCTCGGGGAGCGCCGCCATCCCGGCCCGCTCGGGCTCGGAGTCCCGGTCCCGGTCCCGCCGCGCCGGCCGCCGCGCCGCCATCGCTCCAGGCCGCAGCGCGCCGGAAGTGACGACGCCAACGCGACACCGCCGGACTCTCGGCGCGCGGCTTTATCTAGCGGGCGCCTCGCCTACAGCTCCCGGCGTGCGTCGCGCAAACTCCGCCGCGCCTACAGCTCCCGGCGTGCACCGCGCCAATCCCGCCGGTAAGCGCTGTTCGCCCTCTGGCGGCCGGGAGGGGAATGGCGGGACCCGGCGGGAACCGGTGCGGGCGGGGCACGGCCGGTCCTGGGGGCACGGCCGGTCCTGGGGGCACGGCCGGTCCTGGGGGCACGGCCGGTCCTGGGGGCACGGCCGGTCCTGGGGGCACGGCCGGTCCTGGGGGCACGGCCGGTCCTGGGGGCACGGCCGGTCCTGGGGGCACGGCCGGTCCTGGGGGCACGGCCGGTCCTGGGGGCACGGCCGGTCCTGGGGGCACGGCCGGTCCTGGGGGCACGGCCGGTCCTGGGGGCACGGCCGGTCCTGGGGGCACGGCCGGTCCTGGGGGCACGGCCGGTCCCGGTCCCGGGGGCTCGGGTCGGCCCGCTGCCCATCCGACCGGACCCACATCAGCGAAGCGACCACCTGCGAGCGCTGCGACCCTGAGCGGGTGTGTCACCCGACCGTGGCAGTGCCACCCTGGCAGTGCCAGCCCGGGTTTGCCTTTTCCGTGGTGCTCCGAACACGGCCCGCTCTCCGGTGCCCTGTGCTGCAGCGCCTGCCAATGCCCCTGGCCCCGAGCAGCCACCCGGGTCCCCGGGCGGCATTTCGGGGCATGGGGTGTCCCGCAGGCACTCGGAGCTGGGTAATGAATTCTGAGTCCACCTGCGAGCGCTGCGACCCTGAGCGGGTGTGTCACCCGACCTTGGCAGTGCCACCCTGGCAGTGCCAGCCCGGGTTTGCCTTTTCCGTGGTGCTCCGAACACGGCCCGCTCTCCGGTGCCCTGTGCTGCAGCGCCTGCCAATGCCCCTGGCCCCGAGCAGCCACCCGGGTCCCCGGGCGGCATTTCGGGGCATGGGGTGTCCCGCAGGCACTCGGAGCTGGGTAATGAATTCTGAGTTTTTTCCCTGGGATCTCGCTGACTCCCAAGCACAGCTGGTGCCTGGAGGCGAGGGCCCTGGCGAGCTGATCCCCGGGGTCCTGGGCTGGTGCTCTGCCGCTCTGGGGTGTCCTGCTTGGACACCGGGGGACATTCCTAACGCTGTCCTGGACGCTCTCTCACCTGAGATGGAAAAGCACGTGGAAATTCCTCTGGCGTGAGGTGATCCGGGATCCTCCCTTCCCTCTGCCCCAGGCCAGCAGAGGAGGAAACACATGGGAAAAATCCGTGTGTCAGATGGAAAACAGAAAAACTGGGAGGGATTTTTATTGGCAAACAAAGGAAGACAGAAATAATCTGTGTGAGGCAGAAGGGTCAGCCGGGCAGGGGCACTGCCTGGGGAGCAGGGTGGGAGCAGGACACGGTCTGGAGGATACCCACAGCTGCCTCCTGGGCTGAGGGGAGGGACCCGTGCCCTGCTCTGGGCCAAACCCTTTTCCACGTGGAATATCCGTGGGCAGAGGGGTTTTGCTCTGCCTCTGTCAGGAGAAGCAGGAGGAGGTGGCAGGGGGGAGCCCGGGGTTTCAGCTCTGTCCCCTCCGTCCAGGGAGGGGCTGATCAGCCCCAGTCCTGCTCGCAGGAGGACTTGGCTGTCCTGGCCAGGGAATCCCGTGGTTCTCAGGCAGCTGAAATCCTGGGTTACACACAGGTGACTTGGGCCCCGTGTTCCACACAGCTCCAGGTGATGTGCCAGCCACTTCAGCAGGTCCCGCTGGCCCTGCACAAGTTGTAGGACTTTGGGCAATTTCATTCATTTTTGCACAAAGGTGAGGAAAGGGAGTCCTGGAGTCCTCTCCCAAGGGAAGCAAAGCAAGGCTCCTCTCTGGGACACCAAAGCCACTGGAGAGCCACCTGCCCTGGCCAAGCCAGGTGTCACTTGGGAGCTCCCCATGGCTCCCTTTGCTCCCTGGGCTGCCGTCTCCTCCTCCAGTGCACTCTGGTGGAGGTGCCACCCCTTGGATGTTCAGGAGATCACCTCCCATCCTGCTTCCCGTGAGATCCACGAGGGCTCTGCAGGTCCTGGCGGGGTTTGGACGGGGAGGTGACATGACAGATGTCACAGGAACTGTGACCCCCACAGGGCTGGAGAAGGTGACAATTCCTGACACGCTCCTGGAGCTGGGGAGGGCACAGCACTGGCAGCCCAGTCCAGGCTTCCCTCTGCACCTTCAGGGTCTGCCTCAGCCAAGTGTGTTCACAGCACCCAGGCTGCAAAACAAGCCTGGAACGGCGAATTCCAGAGAAAAGACAAAAATGAGCCCAGGTTTGCTCCCTGCATGGTCTCCAATGAACAAGGAGGAACCAGGGGTGGTGGAAGCAGGGCCAGGAATGCCAGTGGCCTCACTGTCCGGTTCCACTGAGCCCTCCCGTGGTGTCACCATCCATTTTCCAGGAAAAGCTTTGGGGTTCCCCGTGCCAAACAAAACACTGGGCAGGAAGGCACAGATTGCAGCTGTGCTGGTGCACTGGAGCCTCCCCTCGGCGATTTATGGCTTTTGATGAAGTGATTACAGAGGAAAGAAAATATTCCAGGGCACAGGACCTGCACGTTGCCGTGGTCTCGTGCCTGTCACATCCTCCAGAGGAGTCAGAGCAGGAAACAGAGCAGGAAGGCCCCCGGGGTCCCTGGTCACCAGGCTCTGCTCTCGCCGTGCTGGAGCAGGACAGGACAGGACAGGGGCTCCCGGAGCAGCTGGGGCTGCCCTGCGTCCCCAGGCCAGGCTGGGCAGGGCTGGGACAGCGGCAGTGTCCCTGCCAGGGCAGGGTGGCACTGGGCGAGCTCCAAGGTCCCTTCCAACACCACTCTGGCCTTAGAAAAGCAGTGGAGAGCCACAGAAAACCAGGGAGCAGGGAACAGGGCGAGGGAAATGTGGAGGAGGGTGGTGGGATTTGTTTGAAAACCCACAGAGAAACCCTGCAGGCGTGAGGGATGGACAGAAGGAAGCACAAAGGAGCTTATCAATAGGTGACAGAAACTCTGAACCAGTCTGAGCAAAGGTAACTCATCCCACTGGAGCTGGGCTGGATCCAGAAGGAAAGGGAAGGATCCAGAAGGAAAGGGAAGGATCTAGAAGGAAAGGGAAGGATCTAGAAGGAAAGATATTGTTTGGAAAGGTGCCTGGAGCGGTGCTGCCTGGGCACAACGAGGAACTGGAAACACTTCAGGATCCTGGGTTACACACAGAGCAGGGAAACAGCCCTGGTGACTGGGAAAAGGCAGACAGAAAGATCAAAAGGGGCAGCAGCTCAATATTTAATATCCAATATCCAGTATTTAATATTGACTAGGTGGCTGTGGAGAGGTTTCAGAGGAGGCTGAGCCTTTCACATCCCAGTGTCTGGGCTGGTGGATGCATGGACTGGTGCAAAGAGAACTTCCCTGGAGCTCCCTTTGGGGTGCAGAGGGGTTTGTGAGCTGCCCAGCTGCACTCTCCCTGCTCACACCTCCAGCTTCAGCCAGTGCTGGCCACAGCTCAGCGCTGACAGCAGGGTTGGGCCTGCTCAGCTCTTGTTAAACAAACCCTGTGCAAGCGCAAGGAAATAAATCCCACTAGTGCCAGTTCACAAAGGGAACCACGGGCTCCATGTGTTGCTCGGGTCCCTGGGCTTCCGAGCGGCCTCAGCGTGCCCCTGCTCGAGGCGCTGCAGGGAGGAGAAGTGCCCGTCTGGTCAGGCTGGACGTGAGCTCTGCCCTGGAACCGGGGCAGCCAGCAGCTGGGGAGGGGCTGCACGGCCACCGCCCGCTTCCCGGGGCTGTGGGGTCACGCCTGTTTTACAAACGTGCAGGAGGAGCTGCAAGGGACGGGAAAAGCTGAGGGCGGGTTGCTGACGGGCACCGCGCTCTGCGGTGGCACCGGGCAACGGGGAGCCAGTGCGGGGGGAACAGGGCTGAGGGGGGAACGGGGCTGAGGGGAGCAGGGCCCGGGGCTGAGGGAGGGCCCGGGGCTGAGAGGAGCAGGGCCCGGGGCTCAGGGAGGAGCAGGGTCTGGCGGGCCCGGGGCTCAGGGCGCCCATCCCGGGGCCGCCTCAGCGGCGACGCTCGCGCGCCGTTTCCCGCCTTTCGCCCCGGCCGCTCCCCATTGGCCCGCGCCCGCCGCCGCGCCCTCCCATTGGCTGCGCCGGCAGCGCCCCCCTCTGGCTTGCTCCCCATTGGTCCCCGAGCGCGGCGGAGAGCGCGCGGGGCGTTGCCATCGCTACGGCGGGCGGCGCGGGTCAGGCCGCGCGTTCGGCGGAGCGCGCCGGGCAGCATGGAGGGCGGGCGGCGCGGGGCGGCGGCGGCGGCGGCGGCGGCGGGGGACGGGCCCGCGCCCGTGTTCACCCTGGAGGAGGTGGCCAAGCGCAACTCCAGCCGTGAGGCCTGGCTGGTGATCCACGGGCGCGTGTACGATGTCACGCGGTTCCTGGAGGAGGTGAGGCCTGCGGTGGGGTGGGGGCCGGGCCCTGAGGGCAGCGGGCAGCGGCGGAGGGCCGGGCTGCGGGCTGCCGTGCGGGCTGAGGTGCCGGGGCGGGCACGGGCTCGGTGCCGCTGTCCCGGGCCGGGCTGTGCGGGCTCAGGGCCGCGCTGCTGCCGCCGAGGCCCGGGCGGGTCCCGGTGCCGCCGGAGGCACGGCGGTCCCGGGAGGCGCAGGCTTCCTTCCGTCGCGGCTCGCCCCGCAGGGTGAGCGGGGCGGAGTGTGCAGGCTGCAGGGGCTCCCGGAGCTCGGAGGGGACAGTGACACCTGGCAGTGCCACCGCAGCGCTGCCACCGCTCTGCTGCTGCCCAGGGAGCGCGCACAGCGCCGTGCACACCGTGCGGCTTCTGCCAAACCCCCCTTGGCTGTGGGGGCAAAAAGTCCTTCAAGACTCACTGCCTTTGTCTGCTGATTTTGAGAAGGTTGGGAGTGGTGTCCTAACTGCTGAGAGCTGGAAATGCAGTGGGAATAAGCAGGAACGAAATAGTAATGGCCAAGG